GTTGAGCTGGTTTTCAGCTTGTCCTGTCCAAGGTCCAGGGTCCCTGCCTGCGCCGGGCAGTGCCAGATGCCATGAGGTCATCAAAACCCCTGCTCTCCTTAATCTCTCCGCAACAGGTTCTTCCTGGTTACCAAGCGGGTAGAAACTCTTTTCGCAGTCCTTGTTCACCCCTTTCATTGCAGCTGGCAGCAAATGCCTAGCTTTCCAGTAGTCATCACTGCACGATAGTTCGGACAGACTTTCCAGTGAGCGCGCAGAGACTTCAACAACAAAAAGTATTCGTTGACAAACTGTTGAACGTTGCGAAATGTTTTCTTTTTGGCCCTCTCTTCTAGCGCCGAAAATTGTTCCAGAATAAAGGTAATTGAAACCCAGAAAACCAGACTAAGACGCCCGCCAGTCGTAAGGTTTGCTGCACTACAGATATCGTACACGCCAAGTGACGGCCCAATGAAACGCCCATCATTCGCTCCCCGTTGAAAAAAGTTCGTGGTCCTCGTGGTCCTCATGGTCGAGGCACAGATGAGATCGTACCCCGACTAGGATTTTAAGCTTCAGTCTAATCTCATTTTTTTTTTATGAGGCTGAAGTTTTTGTTTACAACTGCTTCTTCAGCCCGCCGATGGAGCCAATGCCGTCTGCGACGTCGGCTGCCTGCTTGTTTCCCTTGAGCTGGTCTATGGCGCAGTAATCGTTAGTGGGTCGCGGAGACTTATCAAACGGTTCTTGGGGGTGTTCTCGACTCACCATCGACAAAGTCTTGTCCGGCCTTCATGCCCTGTGCCTGCATCTTCTTCTTTTCGGCTTCCGCCTTGGCCTTGAACATCATGATGCTGTTTTGCGCAAACGGGTGGTCAGCTTGAGGCTGGAGATTTTTGGGGACCTTATTCGTGAAGAAGAAGGTTAAAACTCACCCGACTTGCTCGATGAGGGGGTCAAGCATGCCTTGCTGGTAGGCGAAGGTGCCCCCGAGGAAGACGGCGAGGATGATGGCGAGGGAGATGAGGAGGGAGTTGGTGGTTGAGGTCTCCATTGTGAGTAAGTTTTTGTTTTTTTGGTGATATGTACCGTAGGACCGTGTATGTGTGGTATGAGTATCAAGGGGGGGTGGGAAGACGATGTTGCGCAAAGCCGTTTGTTGAACGATTTACAAGTGTAGAGATATCATGGCATTTCCAATTTCACTGTCCATTACTGCTCATTTATATCTTCAATTTTTCAAGCCTATCTCAATCCAGAAAACTTGATCTGATGCATAGCTTTCCTCTCACATGCAGGTTTGCGTGTGTGCAACGCCTGCTTTCTGTGCCTCTCTGTCTCTATCTTGCGCGTGTGGTATTGAATGTGAGCGGGCGAGAAGAGGGATCGGCAATGACGTCTCCCCGTCCCCATTTTCATGCCGGCCTGCCTTGCGTGGGGTTGGCTACGCCGCATGGAAGGAGGGGCCAGAACGCGCAGCCGGGAAGATCAGGGTCTCTGGGTCGCAAACTTGCGTCAGAGGGCGGCGAGTTACAGCAGAAAGAGAAAAAAGACATCATTCTTTTGATTCTCTCGGTGGGCTTGGTAATGGAGGACTGAATGATGGAGACTTGATTGTTGGCCTTGGTACGGCCTTTTTTCCCCTTCATCGTTCTATTCTCATGCAGGTAGCCCGCCGGGCAGGCTGGAAACAGGGGTCGTTACTGGTCGGTGGTTGACTGTATTCCCAACGGGGGCCGAGACCACAACTTCCCCCGCAACCTCATTCTGTGTATCCTTGGTAGGTAAAGCAGAGAGCTCTTTTCGGCTCCGAGGTCGTGCGGCGGGGATATTTCCCGCCATTATGACTTCAGTGCTGGGGGTCGTCGTCGTACGAGTTGGCTCAGCTCAGGACAATGAGCGGCTAGGATGGAGGGGAGGGGAGGGGTGGTTGGTCTGCTTCCCCGGAGCTGGACTGAACCCTGGGCATGGCGATGTTGGGTATCGATCTCATTGTGCATGAGATTTGAGGATTCATGGCTTTTGTCACTGTATGGTATCCCAAAATATCGGGGGGCATGTGTTGCCCTCTGGCGGTCTTATTCCAGCCTTAGCATGGCTATCAGCAGTGAATAGCTCCTTTCCCGAGTCCATGAGCTCGGCAGTTGCGTGGGTATGAAGTCCTCATCTCGGAGGGGGTTGGCTAGGCTGTTTAAAGTGGTTGCAGTTGCAGGGGCTGCGTGTTATATGATGCTAGGTTTGTGTTATATGCCAACTCATTGCTATTACACTACGCCGCCGCAATAGCCATGTTCGGGTATTTGTTCTAATGCGCCCCCTTTTGGCTTTTGGAGGCTGACTTGAAGGCTGAGATTAGCCGTCTGTTGCCGTTAAAGACTGTTTGGACTGGGAGCTGATATGTTTGCGAGTGTGATACCCTCCTCGGGTTGAGGCTTTCACGACCTCAGTTTGATGGGAATGTCATGGTATGGTGCGTTCTGTGATGTTGGGGTTTGCTCTAACAGTATTCTATCTCGAAAGAGTTGAAACGACCCGGTATTGGCTGCATACTTATCCCACTGTGTACCTTTTGGGCCTTGTTTCTTGGGATGGTGACATTTCTTGCATGAAGTGAGAACTGATTCTTTGCAGTTTTCCGACTTTGGATGTTGAAGAGCCGCTTACAGATATGATTGAGCTGTACTTATAAACTCATTGGTAGTCCGGCATCCTGGGGTGATTTTTTATGTCACGAGTCTGTGGCTGAATATTTGAGCGACGAACAATCGTCTTTTGGTTCAGTGACTACTTGTCTCATCACAGTTGTGATTCAACTTGATAGTAACACGTCGTTCAAGGGTGAGAGAGACGGAGAAAGTGAAGAGGTTTGGCCAAGGCACCAGCTTGAAAATACGTTCAAGTACGGAGCAAAGCCCCCCCTCAAGCCATGCTCATAACTAGGCTGTTGTCGTTCTGTGACTGTGTTCCCGCTTTCTAGTCGTGACGAGTACATACCTTGATGTTATTATGCTTGCTGCACGATGGCAAGTCACGGCAAGCTCGTTTTGTCATTTGTGGTAGTGGCCATAAGCTCTTGGAGATGGGGTCAACTACTTCTTTGATTGGGGAATATCTACGGATCAAGAGTTCGGTAATTTCGATTTGCTCTCACATCTCACTCATCAAGATATCTCACTACCAGGCTGTTTTCTTCACAACCAAGTTATCCTGCGCAAGGCGTTCTGGTATCGAGTCTCCCTGCAGACGAACTATCGAGCCGTTGTCCTACAGTGCAGTGCTTCAACTACAAACTGGCAGCCTCCTTTCTGGCCGTGACCTCAATCTCAATCTTCATCACGTCCTCCATCAACGCCGCCTGGATCATGGTCGCCGCGGGGCGGACGTCGCCAAAGTACTTTTGAAGCACCGGCCAGGTCTTTTGAAAGTCGTTGCGGTCGGGGAGGATGTAGCGGACGCGCACGACGTCCTTGATCTCGGCGCCGGCCTCGGCGAGGGCGGCGGCGATGTTCTCCATCGTCTGCTCCGTCTGCTCGACAATGTTGGGAGATATGACGCCTGTTGCGTAGTTGTAACTGTGCCGTTGGACTAATTAGCATATATGCCCCAACTGTACACGGGCGTTTATAACCCATGATATGAATGGGTGGGCTGGGGTTGAAGGTGGAAGGAGACACGGACCCCGTGGTTCCAGACACAAAGATGAGATCGCCCGAGACCACCGCGCGGGAGTAGCCGATTTGTGCCTCAAAGGCAGAACCTGAGCTGATGTTTCTTCGGGACATGATGGGCTGAAAGAAGGGCCGAAGAAGGCTTGATGCGAATTGATGCGAGATGTTGTGTTCGTCAGTTGTAGTTGTGGAAGGAAAGCGAAAAGGACGTGGTGGATATGATATAAGAGGTTGAGTCACTCGCAACATCCCAGGTATTCCCACATGTCAATCTCGCGATTTCTACGGGAAAAGATGAACTAAGCCAATCAGAATCTTGTCCACAAGCCTGTAATGGCCGTATTAGGACATGGGCTAGGGATGGAAATGACCTTTGAACATGTTATCCAAATAAAAAACACCCAGCTTTAAAGCGACGCGAACGCAATCAAGACTGTATGAGACGCAACAGGTTTCGAGGCTCGGCATACACGGTCTTTGAGGCGTTTGAAGTGCGCGAAAGATAACTCGAGTATGATGCCGGTGTTGGTCACACGCGCGATGAGTCAAGCAGCCATTTTGCGGTTATCTCTTTAGGTACGGATAGGTCAACGGGCGGGTCTTTCAGAGATAAGGTACACCCACCGGACCAACCTGAGTATGGAAAAAAAAATGAAACATGGTGAGAGCGGCCTTGCTAAATTCCTCTTCAATATTCATGGAAGTTTGGCGTGTTGTAGTGAGCATGTATGAGAAAAAGTCTAAAAATCAAATGATGTTAGGACGAGCGGGGAAAGACGATTTCGACTGAAGATTAGACGAGCTGCAGTTCGCCGCACTGTTCAAGATAGACTAGATTCCGAAGAACACGATCCAGGTCGCTTTATTGACATCACAATCTTCGGTTCTGCCTTGGAGTATTCAAGCAATGATGACCTTGGCTGAAGTCTTGACGTCCGATCGTGCTCTGGGACGGTATGAAGGAAGGTACCTTTTTACCGATCGTCTTGGAAGGTACGAGTAAGCCATGGCCTGCCTCCTTTTCCTCAAATTGGTCATCGCGCATGTTCGTGACTGCCTTCCTTTACTGGAACCCATCTCATCTATATGGTTCCTTCTAGAAGAGAGCTGGGAGGCAGGTACGTCGAACGGTGGCCTCGTGTACCATCACTCCGGTTTCTACAACTGTCCCTGATGTCATTGTCTTCCATAACGTCAGACCCAACTGCCCTCCTCAGCATCTTCGTTCTAATTCTTTCTATAATCCCCTTGTCAATCAAATACAAAGCAATCGATTTGCGAGCTATACATCGGGGAGAATCTGATTCACCAAACAGTGGAAGGTAGAAGAGTCTTCGCAGTTCAACTACCATCATGTCCGTCTCGCTGTCCTCGGAGTTGTCGTCTCCGCCCTCCTTGACACAAGATTCTACCCTCTATTCGGAATACAGTCCAGACGAGGAGCCACAGACCCAGATTCGAGCTCAGGCCGAGCCCAAGACAAAACCTGCATCCACAAAGTCATCATTTCTCAAGTACCCGGCCGACATCCAGCGTCTTACACGCCGCGGTCTTTGCACCTATGGCATCAACACGGGCCCAGTGCCAGATGACACGAACTGGGCCAAGCTTACTGTTCCTATGCTTAAGGAGCAGCTTGCCATGCGTGAGATGCCGGACGATGGGAAGAAGAGTATTCTCGTCGAGAGGCTCGAGAACTTGAGCACGTACAAGCCTGAGGTCGTTGCCATCAGAGACGCTCCTAACGACAAGCCATTCGGCCCTATCTCCAAGAACACCAGCAGCAACGGCGAGAAGCGCTTCTTTGTTGACACAGCTGACAAGAGCCACGTTGGTTCTGTCAAGAAAGCGATGAAGGAAGACATGTTTGTGATCAAGCAGTCCAACGATTTCGATGGTGTAGTCAGCATCGGCATCCGTGGGGCTGGACCCGATACGTACGAGGTTATTATCGGAACAAAGACCTCATGCACCTGCTCGAGCATAGTGGGTAACGCCGAAGCATCGTCAAACAATTGCTAACCTCAACTAGATGTTCAGACCTCGCAGCAATTGCAAACATATAATCTGTCAGGGAAATGCTGCCTTTCTCTCTCTCATCCCATTACTGACGAAATCGCAGACGTCCTGACGCATGTCTTCCGGGCACCTGCAGAGCTACTCCCACAGAGAACGCTCTTTTCCGGAGAGATCGAGAGGCTCTTCGAGTGTGCCCCTAAAGTCCGCTTCACAGCAGCGGAGGCCAGTCAAGACCCCGGACGGTATTGCGAAGTCCAAGGACGGCAAATCATGCCCTGTCTGCTTCAAAGATTTTGGCGAGGCAGGAACGGTATGCTGCGTTAAGTGCGGCAACCACACACACTCATCTTGCTTCGACGTGTATACGCGTCAGCAAACTGGATGGGCCCTCACGTGTGCTGTCTGTCAGGCTGGCTGGTCGAACTCGGTTGTCTGAGAGCAATATGGCAGTACTTCAACACGAGGTTTGGAAGGTTGATGATACTATTAGACATGACTATTGAAGGCGTGTGACTGGGTTCGAAAGAACGTCTGGCAGCTAGCTCGACGAGCATTTGCTTTGGGCGGAGCTATCTACTGCGGGTTATTGTGGGAGGACTTCACGGGCTTGAACAATGAATAAAGACGCATCTCAGGTGTAACTTGTAATCGCTATCGAGTCTCAAGCGCATGAATGGCAAATGCAATTTATCGACACTGTCAATTGCCTCCTCTTTCGGATGTAAACTGTTTCCCCCGAGCTTTGTCAAGCTTCAAGAACGTTTGCATTTGTCTTGTTACCTCACCTTCACCACATAGTTTCTAGGCTGTCAAATCTTTTATATACGTTATTAGTCCTTTTTGCTTTTGGAGAGGCGGCAATTGCCCGAAGGCCTGGTTGAAGCTGTCCGACTACGCATTCAATGACATCCCAACTTTACAGATCAATCATGTTGCGACAACTTGCACCTGAGTTGATCGCCCTCTACTCAATCAGCTCCTGCGCACTGAACGGTGGTTCGCCTACCACTCTTCATCCACATTTACATCGTACTTCTCCAGTAGACTCCTGAACACCCGTTTTTTCTTGTCCCCCTTCGCCATTTTGAAGACTGAATTCCCACACTCATCAATACTGTTCCTTGCTCCTGCTTTTAAAAGCATCTCTGTAATTTCTTCATTCCCGTAAAGAATAGCCTCATGGAGTAAGCTTTCCCCATTCCTACTCCTGCTCGTCAAGCTGGCGCCGTGCTTGATCAGTAGTTCAGCAATATCCGCGCAACCCCGTCTAATAGCCGAATGTATGAGCGAGTCTCCTCCTGACGTGGGGTTTATTTCGGCCTCAGTCTGTTCGAGGAGCCATCGAACGACTACTTCTTGCGCATTGTTGACCGCGCAACGCAGTGGTGTACAACCGTCTCCGTCTGGCGTGTTAACAGCAGCGGGACTCTTCTTGTACATCAATTGTATGAGATCGAGTTTCCCATCCCAAGCAGCTTGATGCAAAGGTATCCTCCTGTTCCGGTCCCCGGCCACGATTTCAGCATCATTTTCAGCAAGCCATGTTGCTATCTCCCAGTTTCCCGAAAACACGGCTAGGTGCAAAGCCGTTCTCCCTTTTCTATCTCGCAATGTTCTGTTCGCAATTCTCCACAGATATTCAACCGTGGCTTGTCTCCCGTAGATTACGGCCCAGTGAAGGGCTGTTTTCCCTGAGCCGTCAAGGACGTTGATGTCTGCGCCCGCCTCTGTCAACAACTTGACTCCTTCCACAAAACCTGTGATTGCGGCACAGTGTATCGGTGCGACTCCATCTCTGCCTTGCGCGTTGATGTCTGCTCCTCCTTCTAATAGCCTCAATATAGTGTTGTAGGGCATGCTCCCGACAGTGCCGTGAAGTCTTGCAGCCTCATAATCAATCTTGTCGTCGGGCTTTTCTTGAGTTTTGCAGGCATAGTGCAATGGTGTCCATTCAACCAAGTCTCGGGCGTTGATATCTATCCGAGGCGATCTCATCAAGGTCGTAACGATATCGTGTCGACGTACCCCGTAATGCAGAGGGGTCCAACCGAGAACATCTTTTGCGTTGATATCTTTCGCAAGACGCATTACTTTTTTAACGCGTTTTAAGTTTTGGATCCGGGTTGCTTCGTGCAAGTCTGTGTAATTCAACTTTTCCTGACAGCTGTTGCTGGTTTTGCTGGAACCGTCCTTACTCCCACTATTACTAGTTTCGTTGCAACCGCTCTCGCTTTCATTGCAAGATACAGGGTCCTTCAGGAGGTTCAGCTTCCACGGGCGCCTCTGATTCTCATACATTCGGAGAAGGGCGGCCACAGTCGGCTCGACTCCCATATCGAAGTTGGAGAGAAGCTCATTCTGAAGTTTTTGCTTCAAATCTTTGACCTCCCAGAGCCCGTGAGGTGACTCATCGTCGTATGTCTGTATTTGTTGTAGGGCCAAATCCAGGGCCAAACTGACTTGCCTCAAGAAATCCACAACTACGACTGTTGCTAGAGTGGATAATTCGGTCTCGAGCGGGAATGTCCTGGCGACACGGAACAGCCACAAGTATATCTCTCCTGCCTGCTGCCAGTCCTGCAGCCTCTCGTGAATTCTGGCCTTCTCTCTTGCTAAGTCGATGATGATAGAAGCCCCGGGAAGCTTTTTTTCAATGCTAAGCGCGGGTATCATGCTAAGGTAAGCGTCACTGAGGCTACCGAGTCCGGTGCTTTCAATGTCTCTGGCCAGCTGCGAGAGCTGGCTATTGTGGAGGACGAAAGACTTCCAGCTTGTATGGGCCGTCGCTTCATGTTTTTTTCGTGTATCCACAGGACCTTCAAGCGGCTTTTTAAGTGACATTGCTGCAGTCCTGAAAAAGCTCGAGAACATGTTCTGTGCATACTGTAACTTCAAGGGACCGAGGAACTCAGCGGCCAAGAAGTCATGGTTGGAGCCATCACCCTCTGTCGTTGGGGGAGTCTCCGGTACTCCCTCCTCGCTTTTGCTTCCGCTTCCGCTTTCGTAGCTTTTACGCTCATCTTCTTCAGGTTGCTTTATTTCGATCGTGAACTCGGACAGTTTTGCTGCTCCATATCGCGGACGGCCTATCTCAGACCCACCAGATCCAACGACTCTGTGGTTTTCCTTGCACAATTCATCATTTGCAACACCATCTTCTGGGAGATTTGTCAACCTGGGCAACCTTATAATTCTGGTTGTCTCGCTGGGCATCCACCACGAGAGATCTCGATGCAAACTCTCCGTATATGAGCCTAGAAGGCGCAAACCAGGTCTCGAAGGCGATCCTTTGACGCGCAGCCACTTGTCGTCTTTGTTGTCTCCCACTGTGTCCTGGTCGTTTGTCTCTTCGTTCTTCTCAATGTCATCAACGGAGTAAAGCCACATCGACAAGGCTGCTTCAAGCTCATCTGCATGAGCATTCCACTTCCCTTCTATTCGGTTCAAACGAAAATAGATGAGCTGTTCTTCGAGATTTTCTCCGGGTTCTCCTCCCTGGCTCGCGAGAGACCAGGTGTAGTCAACCTGCTCTGAGTCGCGGAACAGAAGATCCATCGTAGCCTCAATGGATCGTGCAAGAGAAACAGCTTCCATGGACGCCGGCCCCTGCCAGTTGGCCAATTGCGCTATATCTTTCCTGATCATGACAACACGATGCGCAATTGATGAATTCGAATCTCTCTTTTGATTACCTTCCTCAAATTGTTCAACGTGTGCTTTCAAACACCCAATCTTCCATGGTTTAGCCTTGCACTTAGCTTCAGGTATCCACGGGCTGTTCGGAATATCTGCGAATGTCGTTGCAAACCAATCAAGTTCGAAACCTGATCGAGTCCGAAAAGATGTTGGAGGATTTGCAAGACCCCGCCGAACCCAGGATCTTACTCCGGTCATCAGGAGGATGGCGCCGAGTTGTGCAATCGATACTGACCAGTGTAGCCCACGCAAGCCGAAGAACTGCACAACATATCCACATAGACTGATGGCCATTCCAATTGTCGTTTCTAGCTCTAAGGATACTTCAGGCAATTCATTCATGACAGCAGACCCTGGCACTTCTTCCTGCTTCAATGAAGGTCCTGAGGGATTTCTTGCTTCACGCTCGCGTTCCGACGTTGTTATGAAAGGCCGTTTGGATTTTGAATAGACTGCGAACGAGTCGAAAACCTGGTCACTGACTGTTTTGGTTTGTTGTAGCCAGACCATTTGCGCCATCAAATTTTTCGAGGGTCGAAAACTCTCTTCGACAGTGCTACTCTCCACAACGTGGGCGCAAAGAAGGAGGCCGACAACCAGTAGAAGTGTTCCTACCCAATGGCACGGAAATGCATACCGGGCGACTGGGTTTCCGTCCTTTAGAAAACCCAATGCTGGGTGGTACACAGAACATCCGGCGTAAGCGACGAGTCCCAGCTGGAGCAGAATCCCCCATATTGCTGCTGTGCGTAGTTCAGCTCTGCTTGTGATATTGTGAGAATTGAGGGTAATATTCGGCGAGCTCTTCCGTGGGTTTCGTGTGATAATGATGCCCGTCGTCGATGGGTTTACTGGGTTTGGTGATTCCACATGGTCTTGTTGCGTTTGAGATGAGTAGTTCAACGACACTAGATTGCGAAAAAACATTGCTCGAGACTTGCTTTCTACATTTCGGGATCAGATCGTATTCGTTTACATGAACAGAATTACTCACTTCGAAAGTAGTTATTCTTGACCTCCTCGAATGGCATCGCCGTCACCATTGTCTCTTTAGTGACCCCAGACTCCGGCAGCAAGCAAATGAACTCTGCAATTGGAGCCGAGCCCATACATCTCACTACCTCATGACCATTCCAGAGCTCACAGACCTCTGTCGACGTAGATGACATTAGCTCTTGCTCAGCCACAGCAAGATTCTCTCTAGCTCTGCCAATAAGGGCCTTGAGGAAACCGGGTCCTCCGACTCTGATAGCGCTGATTATGATAGTGATAATTCCGAGAGGCACCATAGCTAAGGCAATATTATCAGCCCAGCCGAGTGATTGACTCATGAATTGCATGGTGACCCTCTCTCCAAATAATGCGAGCAATCTTTTCGCATAAAGATGGTTATTATACATGCTTTCAAGCAAGTGAAAAGGATCTGAGAGTGCGGGACTGACGGTGCTAGGTCCGAGAACAGATTGTTGACGAAGTCATCTCCTTCATCTGCCGCGACGCTCGCAGCGAACATCATGGAGAAAAGAAAGACCCTAAGCATCTTTGCTGCGATCATTGCAGATACGTGTGCAAAGAACTGTTGAGTGGATGGTGTAGGTTAATCAACGTGATCGAAAGTACACCTTCTCGTATTTGCCAGGAAACTGAAGTGTCAAGAACGTAATTGTGCTGACTCGGTGGCTTCAACGAAAATGGTCGAACAAAATATCCGTGAGAGTGCCCTTGTTTTCAGCTGAAGGAGAACAGGCTGTACGTAGATGCGGAAATGTCTCCCATTTGCAACAGCCTAATGCATCCACTTACGGGCAATATGCATATGCACAAAGCCCAATGTCACTGGAGCCCTTCGCTTGGCGTTGACACGTACTATACAGGAGGTCTTTCTGATTGGCAATGCTCTTCACCATTGGTGGCAATACGGTCCTTCGCGGGCTGTCACCAGAATGTGGTAGTAATATCTGCAACTCTTTTGCTGTGCAACTGCATAGCAGCATAAACAAAAGTTCTTGAAGCCGCGTCAGGGTTTGGTGATTGATGGCCCACGCAGGCGTCGTTTCTACATTAACTATTTCCAACACGGCTTGCATCAGAGAAAAGAGGCCACAAGGGCGCCGGCGCCGAACATTGAAGCAACAGTGATGAAGCTGGCAGTCGAGAAAAGAGAAATGCCGCTGAGTCCGTGTCCAGAAGTACAACCTCCACCAATTCTCGATCCCAGGCCAATGAGAAAACCTCCTACTACCGCCAGCTGTGGCGAGACAGCCGTATCAGCAGAACCAAGGGCAAACTCGGGGTATGCTGTAGCAACAGCCCACGCGCCGGCAGCCAAGCTCGCAGAGAAGAGAATATTGCTATACGATGGCTTCCCCTTTTCGCCGCCACCCTGAACCGCCCACCAGAAGTACCGTCCAATCTCGTCATAGGAAGTCGACACACCGAGCATGGACTTGCGGGAGAGCAGTGAAAAAAGCTGTGCCAGACCGATCAGGAGTCCGCCGATGGTGGGAGCGACGACGGCGTAGGGACTAGCGGGAGTATACTTCATGCTGGCGTAGATGATGCCCGCGAAAAGGGCTTCCACGCCAACGAAGGCGACGGCTCTGCTGAGACCGACGCGCTCGTGGACGGTGAGCTTGGGGTTCTCGGGCGGTGCCGAGCTGGCGTTGCTCGTAAGGAGTTTCTGGAGGAAGCCGGTCCACATGATGCCGGCGAGGACGGCGCCACCGAGGACGTAGACGCCGGATTTGGTGCCGACGGCGATCTGGGCGAGGACGGTGCCGGGGCAGGAGCCGGAGATGGCCATGCCGGCGCCGAGGATGGAGCCGCCGAGGATATTGCCGTCGTACTGGGAGAAGAGACCTAGACGCGAGGGGCTGCGGGGCTTGGGGCGGACGTAGCCCGCCTGGTCTAGTGCGAGGACGAAGACGCTGTATATCGTGTCAGTTGTGTGAGAGGGTCAGAGGATAGCAGGTGCTGAGATGGTTAGACGTACGTGCTGCTTGCTGCGGCTGCGAGGAAGGCCTGGATCATATGCCAGTTCTCGAACTTGAGCTGGGCGATGATGACTGAGGGCTGGTAGACGCCCGCCGCTACCAAGGCGGCGCCGAAAGCGGCGCCAGAGAGAGCCGTTGTTGCCATGGCTTGGTCGGCTGTGGATGTGGGAGTGTGAATTTGTGTATATGTGTTTGTGCCGCGGGGGCGTTCTGGGACGAACTGCTGCAAGCTGGGAGTTTGGCGGGTGTGTGTTGTATATATGAGAGGTTTTCTCTTCTATGACTGGTCAAGCGAGGATGAGGTGGTGATGCGTGGTGGAAGTTCAAAATCTTCAAACTCTCCGAGCTGTCTCGGGACGAACTTATACAGTCTAAAGCCAAAACTGCCACAGAGGAGTTCAAATGTCTGGGAAGATTATCGAATGTGCCAAGTTTTCGAGTCTGCTTAGTGAATCAAGCCCGAAAGCCCAGATACGTTCGGGGACTTGAAGAGAGACGGAAAAATGGACCGGTAGCGGGGCCCTTGGTTAATAATCCTCCCCCCATAGTCAAAGGCCGAAGAGTAAGAGGGCCAACCCCTGTAGAGCTTCTACCCGCCTTGGTCAGGTAAGTGGTAGTGGTAAGGCCCCATTCTGTACTCTGTTGCTGAGGCCGAGCCGAGCGTCTGGGTTGACTTTTGTCAAAGGCGGTTTAGAGTGCAAGTGACGGATGGCTAGTGGCGTTGATTCTTAGACCTTGTTCCCTTTTCGGATAGCAATGACGCCTTTTGGGAGCTAACTCACGACATGGCGCTAGCTTATTTCTAGTCCTTTGGAAATGCGTATCCGAGGTTTTCTTCGTGGTGTGAGAGAAGCTACTTTCTCTGAAAGAGTATGGCGGTTCGGTTTGCACGCATTTCAGATCCCCGATGAGATAAAGATGCATCTTCAAGAACAGGTGTTGCAGGTGGTGCGTGCGCCATTGTGGAAGGTCGGCAGTTCAGGGACCATGAAGTCCGTCAGCAAAGGATTGATTGGGCAGAGCAAGGTGTCTGAATAAGGGGGGATCAATAAGGTTGCAGGAAATCAGTTGAATCCCGTCCCAGGATGGTCCTGGATCCCGAACCCGAACCCGCAAGGGTTGTTGTCTCTCTCAGCCAAAGGGCCTGGGAGAGGACGGCGACCACTTTGAAGAAACGGTCGCCGACGTCGGGGAACTGCCGGAACGCACGGGCATCACCGAGAGTGGATACCCCTTCTTCACCGGGATGGATTACATCTCTCGGGGGCTTCCGTAAGCTTGGGCTTCTTTCGGTGACTACTACTGTGACCGAGGGACTTCATGCTCTTTAGATTATAGATTCATGGACGGCGAGGATTAAGTGAGATGTTTCGAGAGTTTGGATATAAGAATTGAGCAAGTGACCATATTGTAAATCTCCATCTTGTAACTACATTATTAGCAAAACTACCAAAACTAGCCGATGAACCGGGTCAACCAGTTGCGAGAACATATCCACAACGCCTCACTTACACAGTCAAACATGGCCCAAGAACCCACAATCCACGAGATCTTTGAGCCGGTCACAGGCACATGGCAGTACATCGTAGCCGACCCTTCAACCAAAGCCGCAGTGATCATAGACTCCGTCTTGGATTTTGATCCAGCAAAGAACGCCATCTCTACACAAACAGCCGACGGCCTTCTCGACGTGGTAAAGAAGAATGCCTACAATGTCGTCAATATCCTAGAGACACATGTCCACGCCGACCACTTGACGGCATCCAAATATTTACAGTCTCGGCTGCGGGAGGCACAGGACGGCGCCGCCCCCAAGATCTGTATCGGTAGACGGATCGGGGTCGTGCAAGAGAGGTTCGCTGAGAAGTATGGCATCTCCAAAGACGAGTACGCCAATGCCTTTGACCAACTTCTCGACGACGATGAGGTCTTCGAGATTGGAGACCTCAAGGCCAAGGCCATCCACCTGCCGGGCCATACCCCCGACCACATGGGCTACATGATCGGAGGTGAGCACTTCCCCACAGACAGTCACGAAGAACTCTCAGACCCATACTGACCATCACTTTCAATAGCAAACGTCTTTGCGGGTGACTCCCTCTTCAATCACGACGTCGGGTCCGCGCGGTGCGACTTCCCCGGTGGTAATGCCCGCGACCTCTTCGCGTCGGTCCGCCGGCTGCTCGATCTGCCAGAGACCACCAAGATCTGGACAGGGCACGATTACCCCCCGGCCCACCGCGGACCCCTGGCGGCGACGGAAGTGGCGAAGCAAAAGACCGAGAACAAGCACCTCGCGCAGAACGTGACGGAGGAGGACTTTGTCAAGTGGCGCGAGGAGAGGGACTCAGGGCTCGGGGAGCCTAGGCTCATGCACTGGGCGCTGCAGGTCAACGTGAGGGCTGGGAATATGCCGAGTCCCACCAAGGCTGGAGATCGGTTGTTGCATGTGCCTGTCAAGATGCAGGGCGTGACTTGGTGAAAGGGGTTTTCATGTCGTGTAGGTAGTGAGAGCGTGGAAAGGAGCTTGTTTCGACTCCCGTGTATATGAGATGAGGGATGTGGAAGCGTTCATTGTATACTTAGTTACTTAGGCAAGTCGTCTTCGACAGCCAATCTTCCTATTTTGCATGTGTACGGTACATGAAGTTGTCACGAAGATCGAAAGCGGTAGAGAGCATGTAAGTGGTGGTGTCCCTGACAAGGTACATTACGTCGGTTGGCCCATGCGTTGCACCCCCCGCGCCACTACCGCGTGGGGGAAGTGCCGAGGTCTCGTCACTGAATGCGGGGAGTTCGGCCCCGGCTGAGTGGAGGGACAGGAGGCCGGGGGACGTCTACTCCCCCACCAAATCACAACGTCAACGTCGGCAGCGACCCGGTCTATCATATTATTAATCTCGCTCGGTTCAATCTTTTCTGTTCACATAAGAGCTGGCGTGGCCCCCGTTTCGTTGATCTTGCGACACTGCATTGGATATCTACAGTATCAGTGCCGACGCAGCACATTGCATATTGACCATGCCTCACTCTATTACCGTCAAAAAGATCGAGGGGAAGCCAGGAAAGGTGTACTATCCGTAAGAAATATATTTCCATTGTTAATCATATTACCGAAATTAATTCGAATCTCAGCCTCCAACTCAATGAAGTCCCAAAGCCGACTCCAGGGCCCAAAGATGTCTTAGTGCGGTTGACGGCTGCTGCTCTCAACCACCGTGATCTCTTCATCCGGCGCCACCTGTATCCAGGCATTTCATTTGATCACCCCCTTATGGCAGATGGATACGGCATCGTAGTCGAGGTTGGGAAAGACGCAGACAGAAGCCTTATCAATAAGCCAGTTCTCATCACACCCAGCCGCGGCTGGGCTTCAAGCCCGGACGGGCCGGAAGACATTCGCAAATTCAGCGTCATTGGCGCCACCCAGACGTACCCGGACGGCACCGCGCAAGATTACCTCGCCCTCCCCCAGGACGAGGTCGAGCTGGCCCCAGAGCATCTCACACCCGCCGAAGGCGCCGCCCTACCCCTCGTCGGGCTCACGGGCTGGCGTGCGCTCGTGACGAAGAGCGGAAACGCGGAGAAGGGCAGGAACATTCTCGTCACGGGCATTGGGGGCGGCGTGGCGCTCCAGGTCCTCCAGTTTGCCGTCGCGTTTGGCTGCAACGTCTACGTCACCTCTGGCGACGAGGCCAAGATTGAAAAGGCCAAGGGTATGGGCGCCGCCGGGGGCGTGAATTACAAGAAGAAGGGGTGGGAGAAGGAGCTGCAGGCCCAGCTGCCCAAGTCGCGGCCGTACCTTGATGCAGTGGTCGACGGTGCCGGCGGAGAGATTGTGGGAAAGGCGGTCAAGGTGCTCAAGCCCGGCGGTGTCATTAGCCAGTACGGCATGACGGTGTCGCCGCAGATGGACTGGCTGATGCAGGCTGTCCTCAAGAATGTGGAGCTCAAGGGCACGACTATGGGTTCCCGAGAGGAGTTTAGAGACATGGTTGCCTTTGTGAGGGAGAAGAAGATTAAGCCTGTTGTCAGCCGCACGGTCAAGGGACTGACGAACCTCGAGGGCATTGACGGGCTGTTCAAGGATATGGAAGCGGGCAAGCAGTTTGGCAAACTTGTGGTTGAGTTTGAGGAGCCCTCTGCGTCGCCTAAGCTGTAAGGGAGAACTTTGTGTTCCAATGTACGACATGGTACAAATAGAGTATCCATGATGGCATCGAGGATTTCTCTGAATTTAATAACACTTTACGAGAATTGAAAGTTCTCTTACTCGATGAATCCATTGTTCTCCATAGTAAATGGCTCCATTCGGTTGACCGCTATCTAAGATACTTCTCAGCCAACTCGTACGTCCATTCCTTATGAGTGAAGTTGATTGAGCAAGTCTAGTATGTCCTCCGACGTGTCAATCAAACGTGTAGCCTTGAGAACTTTGCTGTATTCAGCAGGGCCTACGTTCTCGAGAGGCATAGTTGATACCTGCGCAGAGGGTTTGCCTAGAGATGTGTTTGCGCCTTTTATTGTCTTCCAAGAGAGGTCACACAAACACAATTTTTGCCATGGGCTCTTTCATAGGACTTTCGGTACTTGCTTGGGTTGTGCCTTCCCTATACGGTTTCCCCAGTCTGTTCTGCCACCTCACTCTTTGCGTAGGCTTCTTGATCAAACCAAGTGTAAGTCAGTGAATATACACACGTGATAGGTGCCGCTATACATAATTAATATTAACCCCCAAATCTGGCTACTGGTTTCTTCCAGTCTACTCTCTTGCCTCACACTGGGCAAAGGACCCCTCTAAGGAGGCACTTCTCTCCGCTCGCCCAGCTTCTCCTTCTTTCACCTACAATAAAGAAGAAAAGATCCTGTCTCTCCCTCACCCCTCTCAACCACAGCAACACACTAAGCTTCTCGCTCGCAAACTACTGATATAGCTTAGGCAACCCTATCATGATGTGGCATAAAGCTATGTTCGTTGTCACGGCGCTGGCCTTGATGTTCCTTTCGGGCATCGGTGTCGTGGCCGCTACAGGTGGAATTGCAGACCTCAACGCCGTTGAGACTCCCACTGAAGCCATCTTCAGCAACGGTATTTCCAAGCGTAACTTCTCCATTGGCCCTCACCTTGCTCCCAGAGACTTCCCTCACGACAACCCCCTCAATATCACCGAAGAGGAGGCCCTCAAGCACGGCCACAAGGTCATCCCCGTCAACAAAGAGATCTGGGCCCACCTCGTCAAGACCGCCGGCCTCGACCGCAAGCGCGAGACCATCGAGTACAACCCTGAGCAGCACGACGAATCTATCTCTAGTATCGGCAAGCGAGTCCCGAGATGCGGCGAAAACTACGACCTCGAGAAGGAACCCCCTGACCCGCAAAACTGGTGTACTCCAAGCCCGATTGTCGGCGACTGCCAGCTCGGTATCTGGTGCCAGGCCGACTGGCCGGGCTGGAGGCAGTGGCCTAGCCGCGGCTGGGTCTTCAACAACGCCTGCCAGCTTTTCGGAGAGAACGTGCCTTTCCAATGGGGCGACTGGCAGCCAATTTGCAGTCCCCTTCCCTACGTCACTCTCTTCTTTGCCCACAAGGACCGCTGGCCTCACATGGCGTAAGTATCATCCTCTCCAAACTTTTTATCGCTTCTTGTTGAATGAGGACTAATACAGTCTACTCTAGGTACGGTGGCAAATACTACAACAGCTACGCCCCAGGATGGGAGATTTACTATCCCGAATCGCCAGAGGGTGGCCCTTTCCCGGCTAGCTACTACTATCATCGTACCTTTGATTGCTCGATGAAGCCGAAAAAGTGAGGCTAGATCGGTACAGATGTCTGAAGGGGCAGTCGAATGCTGGAGTTTGTTCCTCTGCACGACCGATACCTCGATCACACGCCCTCAGCAATGCGAGGAATGAGCAAAGATTGGCCCTAAAGAAACAGAACTTGCCTGGAGACACACAAAGGTTGAAGATTAAGAAAATTTTAGGCCACCTAGCTTAGGTAGTGAACACCGCCTCAGTTTCTCAAGTTAATTGCATAACACATCGTGAACTTTTCCCTATATTGACATTTCGCTTTTGATTTACAACCCTTCAGGCGGTGAAGTTTGAGGAGATCGCCGACATGTCAGAAGACTCTTGAACTCTTGAATGGAAGGGTATCTTGAGTGAGCTAACACCTCACCTACGTACGTGGCGACCCCTTTTCTGCAAAGATACAACAGACACCTGCCCCAGACTACACAATTTCTTCCGCTTCCTCCACATCTCAGATCCTCTTTACCCCTCACTCGTCGTCCTCGCTCTTCTTTCTCTTCTTCCTCTTGTGGCCGAGCTCTTCGGGGGGTATAAAGTCCTTTTCCCTCTCGCGCAACTTCTCCTCCTTCTTCTGCTTCTGCTGCTCCAAGCGCTCGGCCTGCGCGGCCTTGTTCTTGGCCTCCTTGCCCAAAAAGTACTCGCCCGTCTCGATCTGCTTGTCGACCTTGCTCTTCTCGGGCGCGGGCGGGAAGGGCGTGTAGACCTTTTTGGTCTTGTCCGTGACGTTGTGCGGCACGCGGCGGCGGCTGAGCGACTTCTTTTTGAAATTAGGCAGGAAGCGGTCCCAGCTCTCCTCGGCGAGCTCCGGGTCCTTTGCGAGCTCGCGCTTGATCATGAGCTCCTTGACGTGGTAGATGGGGTGGATGTTCTCCATGCAGTCCTGGACGACGCGGCGCACCTCCTTGAGGCCCTTGTAAGGGCCCATGACGGAGACGGTGCTGCCCTGCACGAGGATGTAGGTCTGGGTGAGCAGCTCGAGGGCCTTGAGGGTCGAGCCGTTGGGGCCGAGGATGCGCTGGCGGCGCTTGACGTAGCGCTCCTTGTTGCGGACCAGGTTGCGGATCTTGATGATGTCGCATGCGACGCCGTCGTCGAGGATCTTGAGAGCCTGCGGCGCGGGGACGCTTCGGGCCAGGAGCTTGATGAGGTCGCGGGCGTTCAGAATGGCGGCGGGGTCAAATGTTTTTCTGGAGGCAGAGAACAGCATGTTAGTTACTGTGGTGGAGTGGGTCGAGCATTGAAGAAGATTATTGCAGACTGGAATACGGACCTTGTCGTCTTGACGGTCATTGAACCCTCAATCAAGTCGAGCGAGCAAGCGATGCCCGTCTTCTCGAGAGCCTTTGTAACGAGAGGCCATGCCTCCTTGAGGTACACTTCGCGGTACTTGGGGAAAACGATCTGGAAGGAGGATTCCTCAGCAAATGTGCCGCCGGCGTTGTCGGCGGGTGTGAAGGCGTCGATTTTCCATTTGTCAATGTCGTCCGTGTCCCACGGCTTGTCCTTCTTGTATGTGGAGGGCATCTTATCGGTTGTCGCGTGTTTGCAAGACAATGGAATTGACGCCGAATTGTATACGAGAAAAGTTTCGTAGTTACTTACTGGTGGCTGCGGCGAACTTTTTCTTATCGATAACGCTGGAGACGGCACGTGGGGTACACCGGTTTTTATGGACCCATCCGGCATCTTCAAGGTAAAGTCGGCCCAGTTCACATTGTGGGAGACCAGTAACGGTATCAATCTAGTGGTTTTAACCTTGACAATTTATGCGATTTGAATGCAATTGCGAGTTTGGTGTATTCCGGGAATGCGCATTGGAACGACGTTTCTAATCAGTCAAGGGTTACTGCTTTCAAAGTTGCTGTTTAATTGCGAATCCTTAGATCTGCGTGAGAGCCACAACTGGATAGCGTTAGGATTCTGGTGAGGACTGTTTTGGCATGTCACTCTGAATGACAGATTTATCCGAGCAGAGTGATCGATTGCACGTATGTGTCCAAGTTTTCGAGGTTTTCTCACCGGCGCTCCGAATCGGGAATCTGCAAAGCGTATCCGTACCACCCTAAGGTACCTTACGAGTCGGCGTCGCCGTGAGATCTTCATATCAGATAACAGCGAACCTTCTTTCAGCGCTTATGCGTGCGGGTACTGGGGCCGTTGCGACCACCCCAAGTATTACCTCCTCTTTCTGATGATCAGTGAGAGAAAACTTCAAGATCCTGACACACCAGCGCAGCGCGTGCTGTAAGGCTGAATGGGGTAGCCGATCCAATCACATCGTGGCTTCCGTAATACGGTCCAGTGGGACGACCAGTTGGGTAATCAGTATCGCCGATAGGCTCAGTTGACAGCTATCGCGTCCCGTCCATCCCCAGTAAATTGGCCCTCCATCCTGATCGATTAAGGGGATGCGGGATGAAATCAATCCGTTCGCCATTCCATCTATTCTCCCCTATTCCAAAAGTCAACCAGCTTTTGTGTCCAACGTGCCTTCGTAATGTCTGAGACCTGGCTGTAGCTTTACCTTGTAACCTTAGTTTCCTCCCCGCAATTCTGTCCTAGGGAACGTACCTGTCTCCCCCCTCCAACTCAACCATTTGCTCCTTTCTGAGTCGCCTCCAGCGCGTCTTCCCGCTGAACAATTTTTTTTTCGCACTCCTGCGTATTTGCACCTGCCATCTACCACCCAAGGCCTGACTACACACAAACATACACGTTTCGCAACCTCGACTTCGCGCCTCGACCTGAATCCTCCTCGCAAGCCACTTTTTTGAGCTCTGTACGTGGGTCTCTCTTGCGAAAAACTTGCGACTGCACCACACGCGCGCCTTGCGATCGCGAAGCGGCATTCGATAGCCTCCCTCCTTCGACATAGTCCTCCCGTCCGCGACGAGTTCGCTGCAACCGCCATCCTGGCTGCCGTTCGAGAGCCTTCTGCGCCTGCTCCGGCATTGGACAACATTACAGAGCACGAGCACGATCACGATCTTCCCTCCTTTCGAGACGTCATGGAGGAAGCCACGGCTCTGGCTACCCTTGCGTTGCCGCAAACGAACCTCGAGACAATCTCGCGGCCCAGTTCCACGTCGACTTCGGAATCCGCTTCCGCAGCCGCAGTTGTAGCCGCGGCCTCCACGGTTCCTCAGTTGCCAGGCATTTCAGCGCTTGCCCAGGCCAACAACTCTGCGACGAGCTCGCCTCAGATGCGGTACGTGAGTATGCTTGGTGTCAGGAGAAGAGACGAAGAATGCGCAGAGGGACATGACGGACGATCAGCTTGATGGCCACGATTCACTTGCGCTACTCCCGCGCTCGCCGTATAACCTTGAAGCCATTTCGGCGACAAAGAAGGCGATGCAGCCATTGCGCTCCATCGACAAATCTCCCTCTGTTGCTATATCATTGGCTAGTCCACAGTCTGGTTTCAGTGGTGGAGAAAATAGTCGAGATGGGATGGAAGAAGATGTGAACACAAAAGTGACGAGAGCTTCATGTGCTGACTTTGATCCACAGAGAAGCGATTCCCGCGCCCGCTCCCGTTGCCGCCTCCACACCGACTCAGGCGCCCGCGCCAGCTCCCGTGCCGACGCCGACTTACGCTTCTGGCGGAGGATCCACCACGGTATGTCTGTATTTACCTTACCTTATCCCACCTTGTACGGAGACCATCGCGGGTATCTTATCATCGAGTCCAATCCCGAACCCCAAAAAAAACTCCCCCATCTCCTGCGTTAGTGTTATCGCAATTACCGTTCAGGTATTGCTGTTATCTAAGAACCAATGAACCCTGCAAGGCAGGTGTGGGGCTGCAACTGGGCGCGGTCGTTCCTTCCCTGTCTTATCTTTGCTCCACAGATAAGTTTTCTTGTTCCCATGCAGCGATAGTCGTCAACACCAAGACCAGAGTCCCAACTCTCATCGCGCGCTTCACCCCGTCAAGCACCACAAACAAGCAAACGGTCATATTTTTTCGCATTTATTTTGGAGCACACACTTGGAACTCCTTGACGGAATCTTTTGCGACCATTTCGCTGGCGTTGCGCATCATGATGGCCACCCAAGCTAACGAATCTACGCAGCCAACATGCCAAAACTGCCAGACCTCAACCACGCCCTTGTGGCGGCGCGATGAGTATGGATCAGTCCTCTGCAATGCATGCGGGCTGTTTCTCAAGTTGCATGTGAGTGTATCGCATCCTTTTCATAGAAAGACGAGCTAATACGGTATTAGGGTCGTCCGCGTCCGATCTCGCTCAAGACCGACGTGATCAAGAGCCGAAACCGCGTGAAGACGATGCGCCCTGATCTTGCATCTAAGAAAAAGGTACATGATCCGTTGACATTTCCCAACTGTGGCTAATAATGCGACTAGCAACAGCAGCAGCAGCAACAACAAGCCCACCAGTTTGGCGCAAACGATCCGAACGGCCTCGACATCCATGGGCAGAACCAGCGCAGACAGTCGCAAAAGTCAAACGGCAATCCGGACGGCTCTGACTCTCCCGTTTCTCGTACCGCAACCCCTTCTCTATACAACCCTAGCCTCCCGGTCTTCCAGGGCATGGACGATGCGCAACTTCAGGCTGGACTGCAGGGCTTCAACGTCTCTGGGTCGGACAACCGCTCGGGCTCCCCCCTGAATGGCGACCGACACCTCGATGTCCCGCAAACACATGAGCAGCTCATTGCCGCCAATTCTGCCCTCAAAACCCGGGTTAGCGAACTAGAGCTGATCAACGAACTTTTCCGTGGTCGGCTCAGCCAAATGGAGCAAGACGAAGCGAGCGCAAGAAGAGGGCAGGAAATTAGCGGCAAAGCAGAAGCTCAGCTGCGGGCTCAGCTTGAGAGCAGCAAGAAGCAATTGGACGAGAGCCATCGCAGAGAAAACAACCTCAAGCGACGTCTCGACGAGATGGAGCTGGAGCTGAAGGAGGCCAGAGATGCCCTGGACCTTTCTGACTCTGGCCGCGCAGCAAAAAAGCCTAGGATTGCCGAAGTGGTTGCCAATCCAGCCGTTGCTGCGGCCACGAGCGGAGGAGGCGGTGACGGTGGTGGTGGTGGAGAATCCGAAGTCTCGACTCCTCAATCCGCCGCCGCGAACTGAGATGGCACCATCCAGGGCCCAAATCACCGTTACCTGCGCGATTTCCACGTACATCACCACCACCACCACCACCACCACCAAATCCCAACATCTCAGGACGACGCTTTGCAAAATTCTCCACGCTTATACCTATAATGCCGCGTGTGTTTTTCCGTGTTTCTTTTCTTGGTTTACCCCCGGATATCCTACGGGATCCGGGTACGATGGCTCGGGCTGCTTGCTGCTAGAGGGACAGGCGTTGCGGCCCTGCGGGTCAAGGTAGTCAAAAGTTTTTATTGTGACAAAAAATAGAGGCTTTACGGGATTGATGACCACACAAACCATACTCTTATCCTTTGGAGTTATTTCCTATTCTGCTGATGTGACGCTCGGTTCCAAGCTACGTGATCTGGATGGTTTGGGTGGAGAAGGGGAGTGGAGGACGAGGACAGTATCGTGAACCACGAATGCGTATTAGTAGCATGGCTATCGTCAGTGCCATTGATGAGTCTTAAGGAGGGAGGAAAGGGCTTAGCCTCCCGACGCCATGACTCCTCTTGTAAGCCGATGTCCGTCGTTCCCGAGTAAGCATCGTTCTAGAGAAACTCGACCCTTGGTATCCGAAGAGCCGCTTAACAAGTGGGCAGAGTGTACGCGCGTCAAGTGTCAGGCTATCGATGCAAACGAATTCTGGTTAGAAGCGATAGTTGGAGAGGTGATAGCGTGTGTTGAGAGGTGATATATTGTCAAAGTGAAGAGAGGGACAACGCACAGGTGATGGGAAAGAATAGACGACGATAGATATGAACCCTAGATGGATCCGGCCTCCTAACTCCGATTCTTCTCACTTTAGCCTCATACCGTTTGAGTAGAGATATGTACACACAATCGAAGGGGAAATCAATATGCTCATAGGGAAGATTATGGGTTGGGTAAAGGAAGAACCCCATTTGTGGTGAATGCAAGATGCGTTGAAACTAAAGTCGTTTATAGTCTTGGTAGATCTTATCATCTTTAAAAAATCCATGTAGCATAACTGAGATATCACAGATGACAAGTTGGTCGTAGGACGCAAGAGCATTCAGAACCTTCAGTAGAGCCACAGAAGAGTATAATCAATCGCAGATATATCTCTTGGAACCCTCTAACTACCTATGCCCCATCCAAAGCTACTGAATTGTCTAGTCATGATAGCTTCTAGCTAGGGTCCTGGGGTGAAGTAGAAGATGGAACATTTATCACAAACATGCAAATTTCCCCTCAAACCCTTTCGCATGGTTGCCATGCAGTGTCATAGAAAGCTAGCACGGGTCCAAAAAGCAATCGTGGCTGTCAATGGATGTTCACAACCCTTCTTCCCTCACAGGGAGCCGAGGGAGAGAGACAGCCTAGACCTGAAGTGCGATTAGATAACTACCTACACCTTGGCATCTTATGTAGAGAGACATGCGCGGATAGAAGCCGGGAGAGCAAATAGAGACAAGGATGTCTGCTTGGGATGGATGCTCCTAGAGAAAGGAAAGCGACGGGCGCATCCATTCCCTTCCCCTCCCGCCCGGACAGGCTCCATATTTTCCCTATCATTCGCGGGGTTTCGATAACGCCCCTGTTGACTTGACTGAGGTAATCGTTGAGGAAAGTCTCAAGAAGTGGACTGTTGAATTGGTACCTAAAGCGACGTTTTGCCGTTCCTGTCCCCAATGATGCTGCGCTTGCAGATTGACGTATTCGAACGGCGATGATCTCTCTTGGCTCTTTTTCGGACTCTGTCGGTACGGGGCACGAATACCGATACCTACCAAGTTCAGGGCAGAATTACGGATACACACAGACTTGTGATTGCGATCCCTGGAAATCCTTCGCCCCGGACTGAAGGCAGGGATGATGGCATCATATAATTTTTGTTTTTCCTTGGTGCAAGGGCTTCTTTTTGGACGTGCACGCCTGCGATAGAGGGGTTGGGGAAGGGAGATAAGACATCATTATCAAGGTTATCGTCGAGAAAGAAGGGGAATGGGAAACTGAATTAAATAAAAGGCGCTTCTCGGTCCCATGTTGCCCGAGTACCTAAGGAACCTTGAGAACGCGTGGCTTCTGAAGAGCTTTCAAGCTATCACTTTATTTGCCTGGGAAAACAAGTCCAAAACCCACGAGGTAAAGCTCATCCGGGTTTGTTGTCTTTTGATGCGCGTCTTTTGCTTTTCTTTACAAGAAACAGATTGGCATTAGCAAATAGGTACAAGATCGAGGCGCAGCAACAAAATCAGGGAAAACAAAATAATTGGAACAATTTACATCTGACAAGGGTTGAAAACGGAAATTTTGCTCTCTGCATGCCTACTGTGGCGAACATTAGTGGCGTGTCCGGCGGGATGATACCTGAGGTAGAGCCGAACACATATTGGTAAGAAAGCAGCAAGCCTCGGTGGCTCGCGCGCTTTTGTTTGCTTGTCTGGATTCACTGGAAGGGCAACAGGGCTCCGGGGGAATGTTGTGCGTGCCGTTGGTCGCTATGGAGGACGGGGATAAAAGATTACCACGGATTCCAGAGCTGATTCTTCGCACCGAGGTTTTGCTGACCCCACGTTTCTTCAGGTTTTCATGTGAGGTACCTCACATTGGGCGAGGCACAAGTATGTCTGTCCTACGCCCCCCTGGAGGGAGTACTCAGCACGTAATGTGTGGTCGACAGCAACCCCGATGGCAAAAAGCACACCACCCTCACCCAGCTCTCTCTCTCCTACCAATGCTAGGTAGGAAGCTCGAAAACTAGTTCCCTCAACATTCTCCCTGCGTGTGTGCTGCTTGTGGTTGGAAGACCCCCGTCCGACCCTCTTCCGCGGACGACGGCCCGTGGTCTAGAAACCATTTAGACGACGAACGAGTTCCCAAGGCAGTGGGATGTACATTTCACAAGCTCGGACGCCCGGAGCCCACGCCCACTTACCACCGGCCGACCGATGGATCGACCAAGGCAAGCAGCCAGGCCAAGTCAACGCTTTTCGCAACGCAGTCGCTCCAACAGCGGGCCAGCCAGAAGCAGAATAGAGAGAGAGCAAAGGCCTACCTAGGTCTGTCTAGGCACCATTCTCCGTGTCCCTCTACCGTATTACGTTGCCGCAACCTCTGGTCTACTTTGGGTCCATCTCTCGGCGGCCCCTCATCATTGGCCGATGAGGATTCGTTTTCCTGTGCCCCAGCAGCCGTTTTAGGCAAGTGGAGTTCCCCCGTCCTCCACTCCAACCCCAACCTGGGGGAGAACGGGACGAGCCCAGGGCCACACGCCCCATGGGTTCTGGAGAGGTACCTTCGGGCTTCACGCTTACGGGCCACACGGTCCCACGGCTCACGGAGGGAATCGGGGGAACGGACGGCGAGCGAGAGAAAAGGCGTGGCGTGCTGTATGCAGGTAGGGAAAGAGATGGATGGAGAGAGATAATTACCTGCATGCCGATTCCGCCATGGTTTTGAATTCCCATATCAACTGGCACACCCGACATGCCCGCACTTGAATTCGTGGCTCTTCTCGCAAAATCTCCATTCACATTCATCCTCTCGTTTTCCGTGTTTATGCCTGCTCGTCTCTCTTTCTACCTTTTGACTGAATGCCTGGGCTTATCACATCCAATCGCCAAATCGTGTGGAACATTGCAGTTGCAGGGTGGAAATCTCGCAACTGACACCAGGGAGGAACGTCGGCTCCATCCCTCTCGTGTCTAGTTCCCTCCAGAGACATTCCAGACGGGCGCCCAGCTCCATATCTCTCATATCTCGCGGCTATCTCTTCACAACCACACCAGCATACCAATTCGCACTTTTTTTCTTAATCGCCTCCATTATTGACATTGGCCACCTTCCTCCAGTCCCCCCCCTCTCCCTTCCCGGAGCAATCATAATCCTCCTTTGCAACACCATGTCGATAACAGTTGGTTAACAATTCACCATCACCTTCTCGAAAGCGGCCCATGTCTTCTTTCTCCCACAGAAATTAAAGAACCCACATCTTTCTAAACCGATCGTCGCCCTAATTACACGCCTAATTGCACGTCTTTCAGACAAGCAAAATATCACTACACGGACTAGACAAACAGACCTAAAAGGAAGAAGACGAAGAAGAAAAGAAGCACCAACACACCAATCACAGAAAAAAATGCTTCAAATGTCACAACTACCAAACCGGGCAGGCTACAGCCCTCTCGTGCCCTCACCCCTAAACCCAGACGTCCACGCCGTCGCACCGCAACGCTGCCACCAAAAACTGCGCGAAAAGAGACGCCAACAGGGCCGCGGCGACGTGAGCCCGACCCAGAGACTCCTCCGCCACAAGGCCGCCATGGCTTGGAAGTCGGAAGCCCTGACGCGGGAGAGCACAATGTACACGAGGGACGAGATCCTCGACATCCTCGCAGAGTGCGATCGCCAAGACGAGGTCGCGGCGAGGGGGCTCATTGTCATGGCTACCTCGAACCAGCCGCCGTGGCCGCCGTCGTCCCAGAAGCAGCAGCAACAGCAGAAGAAGCAGCCAAAGGTCCACATTCGGGCGGCGCACTGGAAGGAGCACGAGGGCGAGGAGTACGATTTCTTCTGCGAGGCTGACGACGACGCGGACGAGAGCGCACGGCAATGGAGGTCGCTCGTACCCAGGCTACGAAGTCCCTTTTCCAAAGATACCGCTCGCCGGGTTGCGTTGGCATTCGGGTTGATGTGTATCTGTGGATGTCTACCGGCCCTTCGAGCCCACGGCTTCCACATGTATTCGGCTACCGAGGCTACGTAAAATCTCATGGACCCCATTTCTGGCCACATTGAACAAGTCCACCAACTCGTCATCAGGCGGGATGGAACTTCATGATTCTAGCCCGACCCAAAAGCAAAAGAGAAGAGTCTGTCTATCGGAGCGGGGCTTTATCGTCATACATACATCAGGCCGAACCAGCTCACGTCTAGAGAGCATACATTACAAACATTACAGACGTCCATCATCCTACAAGTCGTTGCCGAGGCTACTTCTTCTCCTTGGTCGGGTCGGAAGGCTTTTCTTTATCCGTCGTGGGATTGGCGTTGACCTGTTTTGCGGCTTCCTTTGCGGCATCGTCCGCGGCTTCAACAGAAGCCTCTTCCTCCTTGGCCTTCTTGGCATGGTTCACCTGCCAGATGGCCCGCTCAATTTCGACGCCCAGCTCGGGTACATCAAGCGTCTTGGCAATCCGTTGGCCATTGGCCTGCGAGAGTAGGATTGTTTCGTCCTTTGCGTTTTCTCCCTTGCCTTTCAAAGGCTCCGTGCTGCCAAGGGCTGGTTTCGACGGTGTTACGGTTGTGTTTTCTGGGATTAAAGGCGTATAAATGTCATTCAATAGCTTTGACGGGGACAAGGCCAGAAGTTTATTGTCAACGAGGAATCGGAGGTGCTTGCCTCCCTCGAGAGCGCGCCAATGCGACCAAGCTCTGTAGACGAGATAGAAGAATGGCAGATTAGGTATCCTAGGAGGATAATAATATCAGCAATGCACTTCTTCCACACAAGAGAATCGGAATCGAAGTTTCAACTTACACGGGCACCAGGGCGAACGGCGCCGAGATGGGCATGCCAATCAAGCACCATATGAGCTTCCTCTTGTGCAGCGCATCTCGTTCGGTGGCCAGTGTCCTGACGACTTGCTCAGCCTGCTTTGTTGGGATGATGGTATCCGGGAAGACCAATTCAATCTTCTCTTTGCCCTTGAGCTCCTCGTCCTTGCGTCTCGCAGAAATGGGTGGCACCGACTTCAACCCCCATTCTTCGTACGGAATTCGACGCAGGGCGTAGTTTCCATAGCTCACGACCTTCTTCTGCCATCCGCTCTCTTTTGCTTCCCAGCCAGCCCACAGCTTGGCTGCCCTCTTGCTGACCTTATCTGCCAAGCCTTGTTGGTTCGTCGTCGCAATGTTCAGTCGTTGTGAGTAGAGAAGAGTCCGACTCGTGGTAATGGGGAGGAGATAGAGACGCATATCGGATGACGAGGGCTCAGCCCGAGCGATGGGTGCCGGAGGTTGGCTGCTGCGACTAACTTCGTCTTCGTCGGGTCTATCGAGGAATATGCGACGTGCTGCCCCGCGGCAGTTGCGATGGGATGGAGGGGGAAGGGAACAGAGGACGCTCTTGGCTCAGAGATTAGCAGACAAAGCTTCTCCCAGTCCGCATGTCGAGTGAAATACTGAATTGGCCGAGGGGCGAAAAGAAAATCGCAAGTGATGGAAACCCCAGGCGGCCTCTTGTCCCTTGTCGAAGAAAGGAGGCAATTTTGACGTGTGTCGTGGAGTTCCAGGTCTGGAAGCTCTCAGCCTCTTGGACTTTGAAGAACTAGAGCCCTGCCCCCTGTCATCTATCTTAGCTTCTGGGTCAAGCTTCCTGGACTGAACCCGAACGCAGAGCAGTGACGCAGGTTGGCGTCATGGGCCGTTCCTGTGATTTGAGTGGTGCGCCGAGTGCGAGGGACCACTGTTAGGGCGATACATGAAGGGGTATCCCCGGAGCTTAAGAGTGCTTGCATCAATGCCTATCGAAACCCCTGCTCAGCTGCGCGATAGGGGAAGATATGGGCCTGACACCATGTCTGTTATCCACTCAGCTCAAAACCGACTGCCAAGCTGACGTGTGCCCCTCTATCACGACTGAATTTTCCTCTGATCCCAGATCGCGCTCGCGCAAATTGGCTTTCGAAACCCGCTAAATTCCTCCATCTCGAGGTCGTGACAGTGTGACTGCCCGCGCATTCGGGGAGTACGTACCTGGCATATTCGCAGGCAGCCGGCATCGAGGGGCCCACCCGTCGGGTTGCTCCAGTTGTTAGATTGCTCCAGTGCACCGGTGCTACCAGCCTTCCAATCGGGCTATTGGACACACCTCTTTCCCTTTCTCTCCCTTCCGATTCCCTTCTCCCCAGCCCTTCATTTTGTCGTCCAGTCTGTTTGGCGCTGCAAGAGGTGTCTGGACTCTGCAGTCTTTCTGCAAAGTTTCCCGGTTTGCTGGAACGCCCGGGCAAAAGTTGCGGTCATAGACCTGCATGGCACAATCCGAGTGTCGTGTGGTCTGCTTTTCTTTTGGTGTTTCTCTCCAGAAACTTAGGCTGGCCACCGTCAGCTTTGGGATTCACCCTGCAGACAGAACCAAAGAACGGGACTGGACGGGGACGACGACGAAGCCAAGAAATAGCGACGCCAGCCAGCACCACTAGCTCATCTCTCCCCACGAGGACACAGCCGCCGCCTCCGCCGCCGTTGAGAGAGAGAGACACACAGGGCGCACCCAACCGTTAGGTTGCTAACTGTCTCCCATCACGCGCACCTTTTCTACCGTGTCTTTTGCCTTTTTTACTTTACTTTGGACTTTGGACTTGATCACGGTCTCGTTACTATTTCGCCTTCTTGCTTTTCTTAAATCATAATCTTATTTTCTTACGTCTCTCACCCGCTCCTTCGTTCTGACGACTTTCCTTCTCAACTTGTGTACACAAACCTCGACGATCAAGTGCACGATATCACCTGCGATCATAATATCGATACCTCGCTTTCGTACGGCCTCGACCGAAAGGCGGAGGGCATATTAATATGCGAGCCTCTTTACACGCCATTGACGAAGCGTTCCACTCACGACGCTCACAATTGCAGACGGCCTCGTCGTAGCACCCCTCCTCTCGAGTTCAGCGTCCAGCCTCAGCCAAGGCTGCGACTGCGATGAGCACATCCAGTCACCCACCTGGCAGTTCCGCCTCGGCCGACTTTCGAGCTTCAGTCGGCACAAGCAGTACAGCGATCGATAGTAATGGTGCCCCGCGCATGCGCTTACAGCCGAAATCGCTCCCTCGTAAGGATGATCTCCGGCTCGTTCGGATCTTTTATTGAGTAGGAACCGGACTAATTCCCTTGTCGCAATAGCATGGATAGACTCTTACGAGACGCGGTATGGCAAACCCAGCGAAGATCAGCTTCAACTGCTATCACCCCCGGCCCGAGCCGTTCCACCTCACCACAATCACCAGCCTAAGGAGCCTGATCGTCGGGTGTCGCGTGACGGCTGGGTCGACTACACTGGCGACCCCGTCTTAGAGAAAGCTCGCCCAAACACAAACGTCCGGCTTACGGACTTCTTTCGCGGCAAGGGCGCGCAACACGGCCGAAAGTGGGATCACCTACGAACAGCAGAGCCCGTCATCGTCTCAGCACACAGGCCCGCAACCCAGGGCCCACCAGCAGCATGGAAGGACTTTCTTCACTCGTCGGCCTACGGGCACATGGAAGGAGAGCAGTCGGAGGTTGTGGACGTTAGTATGCTGGATAAGTTGCAGCCTGACTTCAACAAGCGATACGACTCGCACGCCCACAGAGACTTAGAGAAGGGATCGACGAAGCAGAAGAGAACGAAGACCTTTAGGCAAAGAATGTGGTCCCTCATTCTACGACACTACTTAGTGCCTCTGGTTTTCCGACTTACAGTCATGTTCACGTCCATCATCGCGTTGGCTATAGCAGCCCGGATCTACGAAAAGGAGAACGCCAAGAGCAATGTCAGCCCGGAGCGCGCGCAAAGTATTGTCGCTATCGCCGTCGATACAGTTGCTGTACCTTATATCGGGTACATGCTTTGGGACGAGTATACGGGCAAGCCATTGGGCCTCCGACCAGCTGTCCAGAAGATTGCCCTCATTCTGCTCGACCTCTTCTTCATCATATTCAAATCGGCCAGCACATCATTGGCATTTGAATCGCTCGTCTTCCATAATGTTGAAGCAGGGCAAGTGAGGCAGCTGAGTCAGGCCCTGGCGTCGTTTATGCTGGCGGGTCTGCTGGCGTGGACCTTGAACTTCATGGTCAATATTTTCCGAACGGTTCAAAGACTTGGAGGAGGCGAGGATGAAAGCTCTCACGACCGCATGTAGTTTTGGGGGGCATGGGAGGTGTTTTCTTTGGTCTTGTTGGGTATACCCGGTTTAGTAAAAGCCTACACGATAACTTCAGCGCGCAACAGTAGCTGCGGTCCTTCCTCTTTGTTCATTATACATATTTCTGGCTGTCTAGTCATGTTGATATCAACCTTTGCACAGTCTCAGCAATGTAACATGTGACTGGGCCTTTTGTGTGATGTATGTCAAAGTGCGATGTATTTTGACATGTCAGATGAGAGGTGACAGATCTGATGCTTTGTGGCTGGGGATACTATTCACAACAAGTCGTGCCCGCCTCCTTGGCTCTGTAGAAGTGAATGACAAACATCCATAACAAGGTGTCATTATAAAGGTAGCAAAGTATGCGACTCAATTTTAGGTGGAGTTTCTAAGATGGCGAAAAACAGTCAGCAACAAGTAGTCTATATGTGATACGAGTTGACGTGGCCATATCCAAGATCCATGTATTTTGAGAAAACCAGACAGAATGTCGACGGAAGAGTTTTGTCATTTTGGAGTAATCGCTGGGGGGAGAAGCATGGTCAAGTCAGAGCCATGAGTCAAGGCCTAAACAATCTTTATCCACGGAGCATCGTGTCGAGAAGCGATGGGCAAACACGTTCTTGAGCAAATGGGAATGACAAAGTTAATCAGTCTAGGCATCTCAGGTGTAAACAGGAATAAAGTTAACTGTGGTCAAGAGTCCCAACTACCTTATGTATCCTCTTGTAAAGTACCCTTGGATCGATAGGGTCTGGGTGGGTGCAAATCGAAAGAGAACAAGGTATTCGTGCCAATCAAAGAAAAAGGTAAGGCTGAGAAGTCCCAATGTCCCCTCGTTCCCGCCCCCAGCAAACCCTGAAGTGAGGTACCTTTACGGAGTAGGCTGTGTCTTAATTGCCTGGTCGCGTACCTGAAGCAGAAGCCCATAAAGCACGCCTTCCCTATCGCGGATTACCAAAGCTCATGGTTAAGGGCGGTCGCGCCCGGCAGAAACTCTCCGCTAGACCCTTCCGGTTGGAGACCCACTTCGCTCTCCGACAGCCAGTCCCAAGCACCCAGGCCTCACCCGGGTTTAGAGGGCAGAGTCCCCACTCTCCACCACTCACGCTGTGACGGAGAGGTGGACGTGGGCTGGCCTGGTCTTGTCGCAGCCCAGAGCATGGTCGTGTCGCTACCGTATCCGTAGCTGGCCACCACCTCGAGACCTGGGTCCTCCACCACCGGACGCCGCCTCCATCTGCAGCGCCTCTCACCCAGCAAGCAAAGCAGCCTTTCATCCTACCCACCAGTCGACCAGTGTCTGCCTGATCGCGTTCACAGCTCTTGTGGTCCAGGCTACAAACTTCTCTTCTTTATTTTCTTGCTTTCCCCTTCAAGGTGTTATTTGAGCAAAGTACGGCCTCACTTCCCTTCGCTCTGACTCAGACAAAGGCCGCCGTGTTCCTTCCCTTTTCCCCCGGACCCTGGTAACGTAAGGCAGCCTCTCCCTCCTTCCAACCCTTGCGACCACCGGCCTTTCCTTTGCATCTCCATTCTTCGACTTTGATTTCCACAAGCGTCCGAGTCCACGCCACGACATCAACCCTCCACCACCATTAACTGATTCTCCTTTATCCTTCCACCGACGGCAGGACTGGAGATCCAAATACATTTTCTCCATCTCTTGCCTAGACGGTTTTTCTAAACTTCTCGTCTCTTGCAGCAGGTCCCTCCCCCCGCCTTCCACGCCGAATCGACCCCCGAACCAACATCCGCCCCTCCCCCCACCACGACGGCCACGACGGCCTCACCAATTTCTTCCACAGACAGCGCGCTCGATCTGAGAGCTTGGGATCATGTCTACAGCCAAGATGGCGCCTGCCGTCCAGATGCCTCCAGTTCCTAACAGGGAGGACATTGGAGCCACGTGAGTGGACCTCCGCAGCCTCGCGACTCCGTCGCCGTTGGTCGAACACCCCGCGCTGACTGCGTACAGATGGAAGTACCTCGAGGCTGGCATCCAGCGTATCATGCTGGATCTTGAGCGTGGTATCGACATGCAGATCGTGAGTTGAAATGCCCAAAGCTGCTCCACGTTCCTCGTGCCAGATGGAAGAGTACTAACCACTGCTCGCTCGCCACAGTACATGGGAGTCTACACGTACGCCTTGCTAACCGGTCACTATCTTCATCTTCTAACTTGATCTCTAGTGCCGTCCACAACTTCTGCACATCCCAAAAGGCTGTCGGATTATCCGTTCCCCAGGGAAGCATCGGATCAGGCAACCACAGAGGAGGTGAGCATGGAACACGCTTCCGTTGCTGCGTGGGGCAGCTATACTGACATCTCGTGATAGCTCACCTTCTCGGAGAGGAGCTCTACAACAAGCTCATCGAGTACCTCAAGCAACATCTCGAAGGGCTCGTTCAGCAGTCCAAGACGCACACCGACGAAGCCTTGCTGACATTCTATATCAAAGAATGGAACCGATACACGATTGCGGCCAAGTACATCCATCACCTTTTCCGGTATCTGAACCGACACTGGGTCAAGCGCGAGATGGATGAGGGCAAGAAGAACATCTACGACGTCTACACGTTGCACCTGGTCCAGTGGCGTAGGGTTCTCTTCGAGCAGGTATCGACCAAGGTTATGGAGGCGGTTCTGAAGCTGGTCGAGAAGCAGCGCAACGGCGAGACCATTGAGTATGGTCAGATAAAGCAAGTTGTCGACTCTTTCGTATCCCTCGGTCTCGACGATGCCGACCCCACCAAGTCCACTCTCGACGTCTACCGCTTCCACTTCGAGCGCCCCTTCTTGGCTGCGACGAAAGAATACTACCAGAATGAGTCGAAACAATTCGTCGCTGAGAACAGTGTTGTCGAATACATGAAGAAGGCGGAGACGAGACTTGAGGAAGAGGAGGAGCGGGTGCGCATGTTTCTACACGCTGATATCATCACACCGTTGCGCAAGACGTGCAACCAAGCCCTCATTGCCGATCACTCTACGCTACTTCGCGACGAATTCCAGGTCCTCCTGGATAACGACAGAGAAGAAGATATGGCGAGGATGTACAAGCTACTGTCTAGGATTCCGGAGGGCTTGGATCCTCTGAGGCAGAGGTTCGAGACACATGTCCGCAAGGCAGGTCTGAGTGCTGTGGAGAAGGTGGCATCTGACGCCGAGAAGCTGGAGCCAAAGGTCTATGTCGATGCGCTGTTGGAGATCCACTCCCAGTACTCAGGTCTGGTGACGCGTGCGTTTGATGGCGAAGCCGAGTTCACGCGGTCCTTGGACAATGCCTGCCGCGAGTTCATCAACAGAAACGAAGTCTGCAAGTCTGGCTCCAACAAGTCGCCAGAGCTCTTGGCCAAGTACACAGATGTGCTGTTGCGCAAGAGCAGCACTGGCATCGAGGAGGGCGAGTTGGAGAACACGCTCACCCAGATTATGACCGTCTTCAAGTACATTGAGGACAAGGACGTGTTCCAGAAGTTCTACTCACGCATGCTCGCCCGCCGTCTGGTGCACAGTAACTCGTCATCCGACGACGCGGAAACGAGCATGATCAGTAAACTCAAGGAGGCGTGTGGTTTCGAGTACACCAACAAGCTCCAGAGAATGTTCCAGGACATGCAGACGTCCAAGGACCTTAATGTCAGCTTCAAGGAGCATGTCGCAGGTCTTGAGGGTCTTAAGACTACCCTCGACTCCCAATACTCCATCCTCGGTACTGGTTTCTGGCCCCTGACCGCACCAAACACCAGCTTCACTCCCCCACACGAGATCAATGACGACTGCGAGCGGTTTACCCGATTCTACAAGAACCGGCACGAGGGTCGCAAGCTCACGTGGCTGTGGCAGCTTTGCAAGGGCGAGCTGAAGGCCGGCTACTGCAAGAACAGCAAGACGCCTTACACATTCCAGGTGTCTGCCTACCAAATGGCCATCCTGCTCCTTTACAACGATAAGGACAAGTACACTTACGAGGATATTTCGGGTATTACCCTATTGAGCTCTGAGGTCCTTGACCAGGCCTTGGCCATTCTTCTCAAGGCCAAGGTCCTCATTATGTCACCCGAAGGCAAGCCGGAGGCCGGCAAGAGCTTCCGCCTCAACTATGACTTCAAGAGCAAGAAGATCAGAGTTAACCTGAACCTCGGTGGTGCCAAGGAGACTAAGCAGGAGGAGGTGGAGACGAACAAGACGATCGAGGAGGACCGCAAGCTTCTGCTGCAGGTATGTCCATCCATTTCTATGACAGTGATTTTTCACGTACTAACAAGGTAACAGTCTGCCATCGTTCGTATCATGAAGGCCAGAAAGAAGATGAAGCACACTCAGCTCGTCAGCGAGACCATCAACCAGATCCGGTCGCGCTTCGTGCCAAAGGTTTCGGACATCAAGAAGTGCATAGAGATTCTGCTCGACAAGGAGTACTTGGAGCGACTCGAAGACGACGAGCTTGGGTACCTGGCGTGATGGGAAGTGGATCGTACTTTCGGGAGGAGGAAATACCCCCTTGCCTCTCTCGATGGCTCATGTATTACAACAACCTCAAAACTGCATACAACACCACACCCAGTCTTACCAGGCATTGATTTGACTTACCCAAACACATATAAGGCGTGTGCAGGTTCTTCGACAATAGGACGGAGGGACACTGACGAATGGGATTTATTCTGCTTCGGGATTCAGGCAGTAGGCAGGTTGGGAGGTTTAGATAGTCGCATGCGGATTCCCTTGACTGTTTGAAAAAGTGTTTACACGGTGATGTTGGTGATGACCAAGGAGAAGCCGGGTGATTAGGCCACCCTACGGGCCAACGGCGTAGATTAACAGCGTAGATACAGGGAAATTTTCGTGTTGAAGTGAAGTCTGCGGACCTTGGCGTGTCCATTACTTGAACTGCTGCGTTGCTGTGTCATGATTTTTCTCTGATGGGAAGGGATATTGTTAGTTGTGGGACAGGTAGGGAGTGATGCAAAGGCGGGTTCACGTGGCCAAATGAGTCGGAGTGCCTATCGCTATGCGGATGAAGCTGCGCCGAAGCTAGATTGCAAAAAGCAAATCCTAGGAGCCCTGTTGACACAGCCATATTGTCTTTGGGTTATTTGAAAATTGAAGTAACGCTCTCTCTATGTTGGAGCAATCCCTAAACCTCTGGTCTTTGCTGTGTGACTGGGCGGGGGGGAACCTCCATCGCGAGATGAGGAGTTGTGGCGGTTGGCGACTTTCCCTCAGTCACGGTATTAGGAAGAAACTATTCCAGTTAAGACAAATAAAGCAAAACAGCTTTCTCTCTGTGAATTATCCTTATCAGCTGTCATTTCTTGTGTGGTGTCGTGTTGATGTGGGGAAGAACGGCTACTCGGTGTTGTGCGCCATCTCACGATATGGGCGACTCTGCCTTTGCTTTCTACCACATACGACCATACCCACTGGAAAACTCGGGATCCCGTCCGCTCTCCCATAGATAAGCCAGTGAGGGCCGGATTAGTAGTTGGGTCGGTGACGACCAGCGAATACCTGGTGTTGTATGTTTTTGAAGTTTTGCTCGGTGATGATGGGGCCGTGGTGGGTTGAGGGATCCGCTGTGGGTGGATCTATCGCGATATTGGGAGCATCAGGTCAGGCGCGGCGGGGCTTTCTTTTGCGTTGGTGTAATGTGCGACTGATTATGCTGATTAGTGTTAAACTACATGAAGGGAAAATGGTATAGATAGAGGTGTTGTTGAAATGGTTCTGTGTACTAGGTGCTGTGTCGTTTGAGTCCATATTCGGCGCAGCGTTAACTGAATCTTTAAATCCGTTGTATGTGGATCTCCTTGAAGACTTCAACATGTGGTAGGTCTGTTGATATGTTTGCTCCGTATGTGTTTTAATATGTCTAATGGTCTGTTGTCTAATATGTATCTACTCGGCACCCTTAGGCACTCTTACCTCTATCAGTATCGAGGGCTAGACATCCCGTGTGACACAAGTGTCCGTACCCAGGACGCCCGCTGCGCATGCTATTTGCCGGTTTGTCCATTTAGATTCCAGCTCAAGGGTCACATGAGGTTTTCCGAGCCTGCTCATTATCGTAGTGGTGGACTCGAGAATTCCAGAGTCGACGAAAGGCGAAGGGGGGCCGTCTTCTTGAGTGTTGTAAATATGTGGTTGAGACTGGATAGAGCCAGAATCCATCACCCGTACAGTCAATAAGGTAAGAGTGGCAAATTGGACAACTTCTCGGTACTGCGCAAGGTATAGAAGAGGTATGCCGAGAACGTGGGCCCGAAATCAACCTCGGGGTTAAATGGTTCACGAGAGGTGGCACCGTGGGTGTCTAGACATGACACGAGAACCAGCAGCTTCCATGCCGACAGTTGTATGAGTTGATATGTAGCCTCTATTATCTTGCATTCTATACACATGTATGAGGACAGGTTATCTGAAAGTAGCTGGTTCCTGCCATGCTGGGTATTCAAGTTGGGACTTCTAGGTTGATTAGTGATTTTCTTCTAAGACGATACAAGGTCTTTTACTCGGCAGACCATTAAAGCAACTAATTAAAAGCAATCTTCTTCTTCTTCTTCTTCTTCTTCTTACCTATAATAGAAGAGTAGGGGATCACTCACTTCCGTTGGTAATTCGCAATTTGATTCAGATTTCCCTCAGGTAAGACCTAGTTGACGATTGTCTCTCTCAATTTAGGCCGTTTATCTGGACATATCCCAGATTTTCACCGAATTTTCGCAGTCACTCCTTTACCACTGATGGTTGTTAGGTCCGCTGTAGCGGTTGCGAACGCCGTAGGGCGTCATACGGGCAGAAGGCTGGCTGCGATTGCATGCTCAGCTTGCCAGCCTGCGTCGTCCACACGAGAACCACAATCAGATCTGTTGTTGTACCGCAGATGGGCAGTGCAGCTTTATCGTACCAATCGTCAGAAAAATCCAACATGCAGCCAAGTCCTCCTCGCCACGGGACGAAAAAGCCATAAGCTTATGCATGTCATTGAGGCCCCCACGGGCTCAGCCTGATCGACGATATGCATCTCTGATGCGTCCGCACATAAAGACTCGGCCCCCTCTATCAAGTCCAGTCGTCACCTCTAGTGTCTTGAAATGTTTGTGACGTCTCGAAATGGCACCTTACCAAGACTCTGCCCATACCGCTGGAGATGAGTCGTCTCCCAGACCTTCGTCTGTATCGTTCACAGATGAAGTGCATCACGGCAGAATCATATCAAACCAGCAGCCCGACAACTTCCAGAACGATGCTTCGATAAGTGACTATACTATTGTTCCCTCCGAGGAGGAGTCCCGAGATGAAATCAACGGGCTTTCATCAGCTTGTCCCAAGGGCATCGATGAGGGGAATCTCAATCAAGCTGAGAGCCTACTTCATCAGCCCCTCGGCAGAGTTTCAACCTTGAAACAATGGAACCTCGAGTTTACGGCACTCTTGACTTCTGTTTTCGCCTTTGTTGTTATGGTCATTCTCTTAGTGTTCAGCAATGGGAAACCGCAGCCGGCTTGGGCATACAGTGTAAGTATTAACACACTTGTTGCCATATTGACCACGCTCCTGAGAGCCGCGATGCTGTTCGTTTTGTCGCAAGGTGGATAATATTTCCCTCATTCTTAAGAGAAAAATATACTGATGAATTCAGTCATTGGACAAGCTAAGTGGTTATGGATGGCGGCGCCGCGTCCCCTGCGGCATGTCGAACATTTTGACAATGCTGGCAAAGGTGCTTGGGGATCGTTGAAGTTCCTAGTAACCATCCCCAAGCCGTATGCTATAATCTTATTCATAAATAGATGGTATTTCCAGTAACACTTATAACAGGAACACAACACTACTTGGAGCTCTAGTTGTGATCGCCTCATACGCCACTGGCCCTCTCTCTCAGCAAGCTGTCAAAACATATTCCTGCGAGGTCTCATCCGAGTGCACTGCTCGTATATCAATAGCCGAGCGGGTTGCGAGGCATGATTCTATGATCAGTGGAGCAGATACCAACGCGAAGATGAGTACCGCCATTATCAACGGCTTACTCGGTATACCTCCCGACAGCTCTCAGCTATTCGAGTGCGAGTCGGGTAACTGTGTGTTCCAAAACGTTTCGGGAGTCACGCACTCGTCCGTCGGGGTTTGCAGCAAGTGTACCGACGTGAAGTCCGACTTGTTAGAGTTTGAAGACTCAAAGACAAAATTGTTCGGCCGATATCGTAACATTTATCGCTTCCACAAGGATTCGAATTTCTCCATCAACACTGGCGTTGAACCGGAATTGTTCAATGCAACAACAGTCATTGATTACACACATGAAAATCCTATCGTCACGTCCTTCCTGACGCTCTCGGTGGCAGGTTGTGTTGCACAGCGTAACCCAGATGCCCCGGCCGATCGATACTGCGAGCATGACTATAAGAATATGCCGAGACTCAGCTCTGACCTTGATATTGTGGCTGCCAACTGCAGTCTCTATCCTTGTCTCCGTCATTACAATGGAAATGTCACGAATGGTACCCTAAATGAGCAATTAATATCGACGGAGCCATTGTCTAAAACGTCGAGCGGCATTAGTTACGCTTCAGTGATCCAGCCTTGCATTATTGACGACAAATCGTACGGCGTGTCCAACATTACAGACGCCCCTAGACATGGCCTACCTTGGACCTCGTGGATCTCAGATGGAGTTACAAAGGAGGCTCCGCCTCAGTGTGTCAGAGCCATGGACTACCGCGAGTTCCATGGTATTAGATTATTCTTCGAGGACAAACTGAGAGGACATTGCAAACTCTACGACGTCACCGAAAATGGACCAACATCTCCTGAAGCCGTCAATGGAATCGGAAACTCCAGTCAGCTACAATGCGAAACAGGTTGGTGGCTTGACGCTCTCTACAGTGGAGGGATGGCCACATTTGACAGCCTTGCGGCTGCTCACGACAACATGTCTATCGCCATTACGAATCGAATGCGTCAGAATGGACTGACTTTTTCGGAGACGGATACATCAAACAGCTATAAGGAGGGAATCTGCAATCAAACCTCGATTTGTGTAAGGTTTGAGGGATGGTGGCTACTTTACCCTGCAGCTCTTCTGGCCTTGACATCAGCCCTGCTCGTGGCCGCGTATGTTCAGAGTTGCCGAGACAGTGGGAGGCAACCCATCTGGAAGTCGTCAATCCTACCTCTGCTACTTTACAACATATCGGAGGAACAAAGCTCGAATGAGAGAAACGAGAATCGACACAGCAGCCAATCAATACCTGTTATACAACTCGAGGAATTGGAGTCTCGGGCCGACAAGACGATAGTGAGTTTTTGTGGCGGGAATGAAGGTGCTGGGTTCGTTGTCGAAGAAGGGGTGATAGAAGCCAAGTGAGATCTGGCGGGCAAGGACTTAAGCCTTGGTGACTGAGGGTGATGTGGAATGAGAATGATGTTATGGTAGCTTCGATGACCTCGGTATTCTATGAGCATAGTTAGGTAGAGAGAGACAGACTTCCTATATGCGAACTGATTACAGCCCTAGGGCCATGTGCTGTCTGGCAACTACCACTGTGCCTCCCTGCAGTCAAATGCTTCCTCCATCACGGCTTCTAGAGATAGCTCAAATGCCTCCCAGCGTCATGATGCTGTTTCAGTCAGAGATGGTGACCCAGCATATCGGAATATACGGTATTGTACAGTACTAGGCTGTTTTCTGTTGTGCAACACAAGATGAAGTTAAGTATTTGTTCGCAATGCAACATTGCTAGAGCCCCAGTACATGACCACTTGACTCTTCGTCTCAAACGAAGAAGTATGGTACTCTAGCGTCCGTGTTGATTCCCCACGAGTGCCTTCCAGCGGATTTACCCACCCCTGCGCGGTGTATCTCGCTGGCTTAGTGTCTAAAGTTGAATGCTCAATAGTTGAACCGAGACTTCAGTCGCCCTCGGAAACTTTTGCTTTGGAAGCTTGGGGAATTCGCTTTCCGTTGTGTGTCAAGACAATCTGCGACTCGCCCTCTCCGTTCTCGGTATGGCGCATCGTCACCCCAATACCTCGCAGACCCTCCTCGTCGGCCCGTTGATTCCAGAGCATCTGCTGCACTGACCCCTCCCTGGAGCACGAGATGAAGCCCATGGGCCAGCGGCTTCGTCCCAGAGACTCTCGCACGCCCTTGCTTGCTGGCTTCTCGCTGACCAGGAAGGCAATGACTCCTTCGCCACGCCAACCCACCGGGGCGCCGATGAAGGAACCTTCCAATTCCCTAACTATCGAAGGGCCGACGCGTTGGGCACCTCCTTTACACTGAATGATGACCTTCAGATTCTCGGCCCGGGAGGGAAGACTCCAGGTGCCGAGGAGGTCGATGCCCTGGTCGGATGCTCCGCCTACACGAATAGCGTGGATGCCGTATTGGGCGAGTGCCGAGGAGACTGTGTACTCGTAGTGGGTTCCGACGTAGACTGTTGATGCCACATCGAGTCCAGTACGGTTTGCGTACGCAAGGAAGGATGTCATATCATGATGGTTTGTTGATGGAGCGTCAGGGTATAGCAACTCCAGACCCTTCTCTTGTCGTTTTCTTAATGATGGACATGTCGATAGGGGAGCTGACAGGATTGATGAGATAGCAAGTCGATTATGGCGAGACAAATGCCGAGGTAATGAGCGTAGTAGAGCTTGCATGCTCTTGGAATTTTTGAATCCAGTGTCAGGATTTCATGGAATTGGTAGGTAGGTTCACATATTGCGAGTGTTGAAGGAATCTTTCCTGTTGTTCTCAATCAAGTACACTCAGATCAAGAGGTTCACAACAGTTGAAAAAGGTACGTACCGCAGCAGGCATGCGACCCTGGGCTGGCCAGTGCGTTCACGCCTAGGTGCATACCTTAGCAGCTGGCCCGCAGAACAACCTCCCGCGTCGCATTCACAACCTCCAAGGTTGTTTGTCACTGTTAACTTCAGCACTACAACCCACCACATCGCACGAACTTACTGCGTTACCGGTGCCATGGGCGACAGACTTACTCAATTGCAAGACGCTGTGGACCAGGTATGTTGATCTTTATTTCCCATCTCTCATCCGCTCCTCTGGCAAGTACCAACTTCTGCCGACAGCTTGCCCAGCAATTCGTCGCAAGCTTCCACTTCGTCCACCGGCGCCACGATCTCGAGCTGCTCGGACCCAACGATAAAATTAGAGAGGTCAAACAGGATCCGGAACAGAAAGAAGGTAGGTTATTCTATCATGATAGGTCCCAGCACGAAGGACAAATGCTAAACAAGCTCGCTCGCAGTCGATCCTCTCCCCGCAGACGAATTCAAGGACGGCCTAGCTGAGCTGTCGCGCGACCTCATCATCAAGGAACAACAAATCGAGGTCCTTATTTCCAGCCTGCCGGGTTTGGACAGTAGCGAAGCCGATCAGGAGCGCTATATTCAGGAGCTGGAAGATGAGCTCAAGGTCGCAGAGAGTCAGAGGCAGGATGCGATACGAGAGAAGGACCAGATTCTGGCGAAGCTTGATGAAGTGATTAGAAGTGTTCGACGGCCATGAACCATCACATCGATCACCAGGACAGCATTGCATTTGGGGTGTTTTGGGCGTTGAAAATGGGTCAAACGGGGGGTATATAAGTTTAAGGATATCTATGAATTAGCGATACCCAATCCAACACAAAAAATGTGTTTCCGAGCCTTTTATCTCTCTGGCTTATATCCTCCTTCGCCTTCTATTCATTTCCGTTCACTGTCGTTCAATCATTGTCCAAAGTTATAATAGTCTAAGCGTTCTTGGACTTGAAGAATTGAGGAAAGGTGTCTCGCAGCTCCCTGAGGTGACGGATCTGATGAGCGGATGCAGGCGTCTTCGGCACAGGGAGATCCTCCTCGACGAGATGGGCTACGTTCCACCCATAGCCCTGGGCCTTTTGGCAGTTCAGGTAAGAGTCGTCTATGGCAGATGTTCAGCGTCGGATCCTTTGTCAGTGAACGAATAATAACATACCAACAAAGTAGCAATCCTCCATCTTCTCGACGCCCGCCTCACGCATAGCCCTCAAGTACATCTCCTTGGCAGGCTTGCAGACAAGCGGTGCCTGTCCATAGTCGCAGAAAGTGAGGCCATCAAAGAGATCGTCAATACCCAGCAGCTTGGTCACGCGCTTAGCGTGGTTTACGTAGGCGTTGGTGAGGAGCCACATGGTACACTTGCTCTTATCGACATCTTCGAGCAGTTCGCGCAGCTCAGGGTTCGGACTGAGGATATCCTCAAGAGGTAGGGCGTCGTCGACCTGGGCGTTGTATTCTAGAGGGTCGATCTCATGGTGGCGAACCAGGCCTTCAATCGCAAGGCCGTAGTTGGTGTAATACTCCTTGTGCAATTTCACGGCATCGTCCCACTGGAGGGAAAGGTGCTTTACGAAGTACTCGTCAATTAGCTGTGCCATGTGGTCCTGGACTTTTGAACCTAGTGAGAGTCAGTCTTGATGATGCCGTCTCGAATGTCTTCCAGAACTCACTCCTCGGGTAGAGGCAGTTATCAATGTCACTATGCGGTTGTTAGTCAAAATGTTCATCCGCATTGATGAGATTCAACTTACAAGAACAGCACAGGCTTTGAAGTTGACACTCCATTTGTGTGGGTTTTGCTGGCATTCATGGCTGATGTCGTATAGCAGGCGCCGTCTATTGTATGTCTGGGAATGGAGGGTGAAAACAAAAGGGGCTTGCAATGCTCAATGCCGCGCCTTGTTGTGTAAGGCCGGGTCTTTGGTGAAGGAAAGGACCGAAGTCGGGCTGAAGAAGAGAAGCTTCGAGGTATGTTTGGTGGGAGTCTGATCGGCATGAAGCAAGCGAAACCACGTTGGTCTGGAGTTTGACACTTATGTTTCTTTTCTTCGGACTCAAAGTTGGAATACCCCGTTTCTGGCTTACAAATGCAGCTTGGGGCTTTTTGAGGCTTTTCGCGATACTTTGGCAGCAGTATGTAAGGTAGTGTTGACTCACGCCGATATACCTCGTTACGCTGTTGAGGTAATTACAGGAAGCTAAGGTACAGGGAGCTGTTTCCGGCTGTCGGGGACCTTGGCGCGAAAACATTAGTGGTGACTATGACCAAAATACGCCGAGGCTGGGAAGCTGGTGACATACTCGCTTAGCTGCATGACCCACCCAAGCCTGAATCACCCATCCAGGCCCACAACTGATCCACAAGATTCTTATAAGGATTTATCCTTGTAGGAAAAGTTCAGAAAGAAACCACTACAGATGGCCCACGACCCATTCCTTTTCCTCTCAACATCCACCAGCGGCACGACGCCTTTTCTTCATCTTCTACGACACTGCAGAAATTACTGCGCTGTAGTCTGCTACGCTTCGGGTATAGTCAACAGTGCTGATTCTCACGATATTGGTAGTTCTGTTTGTCTTCTTGAATTCCTTTCTTTTCGCGCTTTCTTGCTTGACTGCGGAGGATTTCCTTGCGCAAATTGCATTTCGCCATGGCTCAAGGCCAGCTCGCATCACTACCGCCGTTGGCAAATGGGACTTTTTCGGGTCTTTCAAGAGATGAGCTACACCAGATACAACAGTACGAGAGAATCGTGCAGTTTCGCGATGCCATTCTTGCTGGCTCGCATTCCAAGATCAAAGTGCCAGCCCAGTTGGCGAGCCAAACATCGACTCCTGCCATAGCATCTTCATCAAACCCTTCTACACCAGCAAAAGAGACGAATGGAAGCACAGCGCAGGTTTATCAAGCTGGGAATCTGCAGTCGTTCGCGACCAACACGCCACAAGCTTCTCTTCCTGGTTTAGGAAACCCGCCCCCTGCTAATGCGAACCTGCCTGCAAGACCGTTCGTTGGCTCTGGCAAAACCGAGATCAATCCTATTTTTCTTCAAAAGTCTGATGATCTCATCAAGGCCGAGATACAGCTCCAGAGGCAACGCCTTGAACGGGCACTTCGCGACGAGGTCGATCAACGTCGGGCTTCTATGAAGGCCTCGGCGCAGTCGGAGCCTCTGGCCGACTTTGACCTCTCCGACGTCCTGTCCAAGGCTCTGACTCTGGTCCAAGCTGCTGCTCCTTCGTCTGTCAATGCTACACTGGCTGCTGCTAACATTTCAGCTGCAAGTGACTCCGTTGATGAGAACTCTTACTATTCTTCCCAAGTCAATTCGCCAGATTCCTCACACCGCAGTTCACGCGGCGGTAACGATGCCGAAGTCACGGCACAAACACAGAAGGCTTCCACCACAGGCCAGCCATTCGAAGATCAGTCGCAAGTACAAGCAAAGCAGAAGACCCAAGCTGGCCTGCAGTCCTCAAGACTCCATGCCTCTGCTACTCATCAGCCACAGGGCCAAGCCTTGAGCTCCAATCCCTCCCAGTCGCGACCAGTTCCAAGCAGACCCGATGCCGCACCCGAATTTTCGCGATACCCGTCGGTAGGAACGACGCAAAGAATGGATATGGGTGATAATACGGGGTTGTCTACATCAGGAGGTGGGAGCGGAAACACCAGTCGTTCTGAGGAGTCAGGCGTTATGGACCTTGACGACAGTGCTGATAGGTCTGTCCCTGCCGCAGGTCAACAGCAACTTAGGGAGTCTATGCTCGCTCGCCAACCCTCGCCTTTGATACAGGTTCGCGCCCACAACATATCCCCCTTAGCGCCCCAGCCCTCCCATGTCTCGCCTCTTGCAATGGCCAGAGGTCAAGCAGCGGATGCTCAAGACTTGACCATCCCTCAAGGAACCACAGCTCAAGTTGCAGCACTACGCAATGAGCCCAATATTATTTCCAGTCCAGATAGCTCGCCGCAAGGGGGTAGAAGCGGGGAGAAGCGGAAGGGGAAGAAGAAGAAGAACGGCAAGCGGGCAGCCAGGCAAGCGCCAGACGAGCCTTACATCAAGCCAGAACCGCGATCGCCGTCTCCGATGAATGCGCCGTCTTTCATTCGGCCACAGAAGCGCCAAAGAAGACAGGGTGACGAGGAGCCTCGTTACGCCCAGCCTGAGCGTCAATTTTCTCGATCATACAGAGAGGAAGGTGCTGCGCCCATGTACGATACGCAAGAGTACCGTTCACGGCCAGCGAGCCAAGCCGCGGCGATTGGTGACTATGGGTATGGAAGAGAGTACATTGAGGAGCCCCGCGTTATCAGCGGCGCCGAGTATGTGCGGCATGTGCCGTCGCCTGGTGTCTATGCTGTTCATGCTGCGCCAAGTGAGGTGTACGCAACATCTCCAGCTAGTGTCGACCGCTACGGTAGGGAACCTGCACGATACTATCGTGATGGTTACGAAGTGACGCGCATGAGCACTCGTCCCATGACAGATCGCGCAAGATCTCGCTCGCCCATCATGAGAGAGAGGGCATCCCCGCTAATGGGACCACCCAAAGCGCCGTCCGGTAGGGTTGTGGTAGACCCCGCTACTGGCCGTCGATACTACGAACCATCGACTGTTGTCCGTCAGTCTGTTGCGCCCTCACCACTGCGACCTGGCGAGCCCGAGGTTATTTACGAAAGAGCACCCATTCGAGCAGAGTCTAGGCGACCAGGCCCACCCCCTCGAGACGACGACGTCCTCTACCAGCGGACCTCGCCAGTGTACGCAGCACCGAGGAGAGTCGTCACACAACCCGAGTACGTTGCAGACCCTCAACGAATCTACAGACAGCGAGAGTATTCTACGAGGCCAATGGCACCCCCGGGCCAAGAATTTATCCCTGCCAGAGGTGATATGGAACAGCGGAGGATTATTGAGGAGGCTCCAAGAGAGTATATGATGCGGGCGACAACAGCCCGCCCTGCGGAGACGGCGGTACGCTATGAGCTTCCGCGAGAGTATGGAAGAGTCCAAAGTGTGAGGCCGGAGCAGATTCCCATCCAGGACTACGCTTCGGCACCCATGCACCCCGACCCCCGTCGGGAGATGGTTCACCCTGGACCTCGGTCCTACAGCGTGCGGCCTGCCGAGCCTCAGGTGCTGCGGCGGGAGTATAGTGCCAGGCCGGTGGAGCAGCAGCCTTACTACGGACAGCCGGTCCCCGCACGGGGCGAGCCGGAAGTGTCATACATTGATCGGCCCGTGTACTACACCGACGAGGCTCCTCGCCCAGTCTATCGATGAAGAACGTCGAGCTTTTGGTCTCGATATGAGACAGGCTTTATTATGCGGTATCGGAATTGGCGGATTACAGGCGTCGGGGAAAGCTGGGAAACAGCCTTCGGAACTCTTCTTAGGGGGGAAGGGTTAAAAGTCTTTATTGATGGGACGGAGTTTCGGCAAAGAACAACCGGATGGAGGGGAATGGTGGTGAATACCTAGTCACTAGCGGTAATTAGCAGCACTGCGTGTACGTTCTATAATCAGCAAAATCCAATTGCAGTCATTCAGTCTATGTCTTTCATCTTCCGGTGATTTGCCCAGTGTGGAACAAGATGAAAATGTCTGTACGAGACATTTGGGAAGAATGAGCGAGGTAGAGATCCAAGAAGGAAACTATCTAGAAAACACGAGACAGCGTCGCATAAGTGACTAGGTCTCGGCGAATAAACCCAAATCGTGAAGAAGTTTATCCTTTGCCTCGTGAGAAAGGTGAAAGAAAGGACGACACTACAACGATTGAGTTTCCCCAGGCAATGGAAAGGTACTGTAGAAAAAGGATGGACTTTGCACAAACGAGCACGGACTTTGGGGCTCTCGGAGCGTCGTCTGTAGATTTCTTTCCGTTTTCCAATTTGCCTCGTCCTTGCTCTTGCTTGTCCTTTGTGATTATGTTTCCGCTCTCAGCACCCGGACTATTGTGTCCGTTCGCTCAAGTCAGGACACAAAAAGTGATGGTCAGCATGAGAGCTATCCTTTTAGGTAGGCTCGAAGGGAGAGGCACAATTCGGTACATAAAGAAGCGGACTTAGGACCCGACAAGTAGGACTCCAGTTGCTTTTTTACCTAAGGGGATATAGCAACACCACGGAGAAGAAACAACGCCCAGCGGGGTTTCTATGAAGTCATTGCGAACCACGCTCAGAGTAATACCTGTCGGGTTTCCCGCGCTTCAAGTTCGTGTTATATGTGGGTGGGGGGTGGGGGGCTCAACGAAGATCTGTATCCGCAGAAGCAACACTGGTGATGACTGTACATGGAGAAAAGGAATACTGTATCCGTACTGCGAAAGATTGGAAAAAAAAAAAAAAAGTCAACCGAAGCATGGAGAGTGGATTCCGCTATATGCGAGACTGAGGCATATTCCCTTTCGTGCCAAAGTTGGGTTGGTCAGAGATCTTCTAGTGAGCGGATCTGACAAAGTCTAAAATTCTGCCGTCCGTCTCTTCCTCTTTTCTCGCAAAGTGCTGTTGGTCAAACATAGATAGACGACCCAGCAAAAGCCGGTTTTGTTTGATTAGCTGCTTTGATAAACTGATAGCGAGGGACGCTTCAGAAGGTGGCAGGGGAAAGAAAGGGAAACATCATCCATGGGAGGGGTCAACACTACCGATGCACACTCTAAACCACGGCCCATTGCCCAACATGCGTCTTCCGGCGGGTCCGGCACACGAACGTGTTCAGCGTCGTAGCCCTTGCATCAGGGTACTGCTCGCTCCGCATGGATAGGTGCAAAGAAAAACGTGTGTGACCGTAGACCAGCGCGCCTCGTCCAGAGAAGGTTTGTCAGTCATATTTCGCCAGCCAGGTTGGCTCCCAGGACGCCCCCCGAGAACACCAGCATGGCTCGTCGTTGCACTTATTTTTCTTGGTCCGAGTGCCGGTGTGTGGAGGAACAGTTCGAGGTTGAAACGTTCATTCCAGGATCATCGATCGACATGTCCCCTTCTCC